CCACCCAGGCGCCCTATGTTATTTTTTTCAAAGGCCTTCCCAAATACTTCCTCTTCCAGGGAAGGAAGTCTTCTTGAATTTACACTAATGACTGAAAAATATTCTTCCTTCTCTGATCCCAGAGAACTAGTAATAGCTCCTTGTCTTGGGGGTAGAGATGCCTGGGACTCCACTATCCTTAAATCTAAAGGCAAAGAAGAGAAGAAGACATGGACAGCCCCCAGGGGTCTGAAGTGCAACCCATTCTGATATGGTTTTTTTATTCTTTTTTTAAATTAATTATTTATTTTTTTAATGTATGTATTTGACAGAGAGAGACAGCGAGAGAAGGAACACAAGCAGGGGGAGTGTGAGAGGGAGAAGCATGCTCCCCGCTGAGCAGGGAGCCGGATGTGGGGCTCCATCCCAGAATCCTGGGATCATGACCTGAGCTAAAGGCAGACGCTTAATGACTAAAGGCATCCAGGCGCCCCTGATATGTTTAATGTGTATCTTTTTGTTTGTGTCTTTGCAATCTCTGTTGTCCTGTGTGCATGCATTTATTGATGTTGTGTTATAGATCTCACTGGGTTGTTGTACTTTTTCAGCTCAGCACTGGGCGTTTGAATCCTTGTTGTGAATACACCTGGTTGTAGAGGTTGCTTTTAGGTAGCAGGCTTGGGCAATGGAATCTTGAGCAAGGCAAAAGGGCCCCCAGTGACCACCAAGCTGAATACAAACAGGCTCATTAAGTGACCCACCTCCAAATAGCCCTAATGCACCAATGGGCTACTTTAAACCAGGCACAGTTACCAAAAAAGGGAAAATTCCGTATGTTCCCATACCTCCTCACTCCACCCTATAACTCTGGTCCCTTGCCACCATCTTGTGGCAGTCTCCCCTTTGTTGTCCTTGCAGTGTATCCAATAAAGTTCTCTCTCTTTTGTTCTGCCTTGGGTGAATTCTTTCAGGGCCTGCTCCCCTAGCCCCCACCCAATCCCCAAGCCACATCCTGGTTCCTCGTTTCTCTAGTTGCATAGTCCCACATTTTACCCATCCACTCCCCCAATGCTCAAGTCACCTCCAACTCCCAGCAACCATGAAACAACAAGGCAGCAAGGAACACCCTTTTACATGTCCTTTTCTGAGACTGGAGGGGAAAGAGCTGCACTCTAAGTTTGAAGTTCGCTGCGTTCAGTTTCCCTCATTACTACCAGACTGTTTTCCAGAATGGCTGCCCCAAGCTACTCCCACCAGCAATCCACCTGGCTGTGACGGCTCCGCATTCGCCGCCAAGATTTGGCATTGTCTATCTTTATAATTTTGCCAGTCCAATTGGTGTGATATCTCATCGTCATTTTAACTTGTATTTTTCTGATCATGAATAAATCTCACCATCTCTTCATATGCTTACAGGCTTGCTGAGGTGTCTGTTCCTTAAATGCCTGCCCAAGGCTTTGGAGTCTGACTTTAGGCGTCTGGGGGCAGCTGAGCAGGCTCCGGAGTCCCGAGAGTGGAGCCTGCGGGAGGCCTTACACGAAGGTCACGGGCCGAGGAGGCTGGGACAGCTCCTGGGGAGACACGCCCACCCGGGACCTGCAGAGCCCGGAGTGGCCCCGACCCGACCCGCCGGCCTCGGGGGTGAAAGGCGCGGAGCCGTGGGCAGGCACCTGCAGCCTGGTCGGGGACTGGGGGGAGGCTGCAGCAGCTGCGCCCACATCGTGCTCCAGGGCCCAGGCGGGACCGAAGGGTCTGGAGCAGCGGCTGCCGCGCGCAGCCCGGCGCTCCCGGTAGCCCCCGCGCCCAGACCCCGGCTCAGCGCCCCCTCCCCTCGGCTCGCGGCGCCGCGCCCAGGCGGACAGAAGCGCGTCCCCGGGCTGCGGAGCGGCGGCGTGGAGGAGGCCCTGGCGTGGGAGACCGACGGCCGTGAGTCCGCCGCGCCGCGGGGCCTGGGGGCGGGCGTGGGCAGAGCCCCGAGGATTCCCGCACTCCTGCCGGGGCGACCGAGCCTGAGGCTGGCGCTGTCCGCGCGGCCGCCTCGGTCGTGGGCTTCTTTGTGGCGTCCAGAGGAACGCGCGCCGGGCCAGGGGGCACTTTGGCCGCGCTTCCGTGACTCGGCGGCGCCACGGGTCCGGGAAGCAGGGAGCTGCCGCCGCGGAGACATTGGCTAGATGTTGATGCGAATAAGAGGGTTATGCGATCCTGTATTGGGTACTTAATTTGTGTGCCAGGCTGAGCCAGGACAGGAATGTTAGTTGATCTTCACAGACGCCCTGTGGGTAGGATCTATTGTTATCGCCATTTTGCAGAAGAGAAAGCTGAGGCACAGGATGGTTAAATAAGTTACCCAAGGTCACGCGCCTTTGAGTGGTAGAAATGCTGAAGGCCCCCGCTCTCCCAGAATGTTGAGGTTGGGTGGGGAATGAAGACTGTACCGGATGGGGAAACTGAAACCCAGAGGAGAGGAACTGGGGTGTGCCGCAGGTGGGATGAGCGCACGGCCGAGCATTCCTCATGGAGTGTGCTCAGGGCCAGGGCCTCGTGTGGGCATCAGCCAACCTGATAGGTTTTCGCTGCACTCCCTGGGAGAGGGGAGAGAAGGATTGTGCCAGTGCCCTCACTGGGATGAGTGGGGGGCGGTGAGGGGCTCTATTAAGGTGCTGTTTCAAAGGGTGCAGGGTTCTACCTGGGTCAGAGGATCTCTTGAGCTGGCCCTTAAAGAATGTGCAGCAATGGAGCATTGGGGTGTGTGGGAGGGAATTCTGGGCAGAGGAGGCAGCATGGGGAAGGTCTCCAAGGCTAGGGTACAGTGTGTATTTGTGGACAGAAAGAGGATGCATGGGTTGAGGTGGATGGAAGAGATGAGATTGGGCTTGATTTCACTGGTGCCTTGCAGGGTCTGCTTGCTCCCACTCACACTGGTGCCTGTTTGCCTACACAAACCAGGCCACTTCTAGGCTTCAGCTGAGAGAAAGGGAGTCAGAGCTGGAAGGGATCGCTACAGATAACTTTCTTCACCCCCCTGCTTTTTAGAACCGAAGAAACTGAGGCCTCCAAGGGGTACATGGCTAGCCGGGGATCCTGCTGCTAGAAAGTGGCAGAGTGGGTACAAGAACCCCAGCTTCTCTAAGCTCCCCTGAAGTGCCAGCTCTTTTTCCTGAGCCTGGATCTTGGTGTCGTTCAGCCAAGAGGTTAAGGAAACAAAAGCTTGGGACTCAGTGGTTCCTGGAGATGTTTGAGATCCGAGAGGGGTTCTTCCAGAACAGCCCTCTCCTCACCTATAGGAAAGGCACCCCCTTTGGAGATTGGAAAGGGTGGAACTAGCAGTGGAGACCGCACTTGGAAGGTGGTGTTTCCCCCTCCTCCCATGCAATATTGACCTGAAGCTGCCTCCCCCTCAGTGCCTCTTTCCTGCCATTTGCCTGAGCTTGTGGTTTGATTTTCCAGGGGACTAATGAGTCTTAATTCGGACAGCATCTTATAGTTCAAAGGCCCCTGAAGAGATTTAATGATTTGTATATCACTTGTTCATTCAACAAATGTGTGCCAGGGCCTGAATTTGGGGATACAGCAGTTAACAAATCAGACAAAAATCTCCCCTGTCATGGGCTTCTAATGGGGGAAGCAGATCAATGAACGTAATAAATATGTAAGTATAGCATATGTCTGTGGTGAGGGGTGCTATGGAGCAAAACAATGCAAGGAGGTGGATAGGGAGGGTGCTGTCCTTGGTTGGTATTTCACGGGCTTAGAGGGCCCTGAGTGAAGGAGGCCCCACCTGGAGGGGCACCAGAATTTATTACCCTTTGCCTTATAGGAATAATAGTGATGATGATGCTGGCACTATTTGCTAGATACCATGCTAGGGGCTTTTCATATCTTATATCTAATCATTACTGTAACCCTACAGGGCGGCTCACGTTCCCCATTTTGCAGATGAGGGAACTGAAGCACAGGATAATTAAGTCACGTGGCCTGGAGTCCTGGAAGTGACTCGCCAGAGTTGAACCCAGGGCCATGTGATTGCCCTGGGGCAGCAGCTCCGAGGTCCCTAGGTTGTATCTATAAGGCCCTGGAAAGCCCAGGACCCTCTTCTATATCTGGAAAGTAAACGGATGGCAGGCCTGTCTGTCACCTGAACTCATCCTAGCGTTCCCTGCCCAAACACTGGCCACCTGTCCCTGGATATACAAAGGGGCTGGATCTGGACCTTCACATTGGACCAAACACACAGGATGTGGGTTTGGCAGCAATTAGACCACAGATTATCTGCCCTGTAATGACCATGCAAAGGGCCAGCAAATGCTCGTGCCTTGTGCTAGTGTGTCTAAACCTTTCTGGGGGAGGGATGGGTATCTATTAGTCTGATATGTGTCACTCATGGAAGCAGAGTTTTATGGATCCCTCCCTAGGTCCAGCTTTGGGCCTGCTGTGAGCTGTGGGTGGATCAACAAAGGTCAGGTGTAGCCAGGGCCCCCAGGGAGCTTGTGGTTCAGCCAAGGACACCAGACATCCTTACAAGCCAAGTGCAGTCAGGATGACAGCAGCGTGGGGGTCTGGTGAGATGAGCCCTGGACCACGTCACCGGGCCTGGGTCCTCCTGGCAGGCCTCAGAGCTCCCTCTAGTCTGAGATAATGATGCAGTGTTGAGGCAAGAGGAGCCCTGAGAGAAGGAAAATCAGGGTGGGCCCCACAGCTGGGAGGTGACAGCTGGTTAGGATTGGGGTTGAAGGGAGAAGAGATGGAGGGACAAGGACAAAGAAGCCAGGTGAATGTGCCTCTGGCCTTGGCTGAGCCTGATGAATTAGGTGGCTCAGTAACTCCTGGCTGCCTTCTTCACTGGACAAAGCCATGGGAAAGGTAGTTATCAACTCCAGTCGGAATGAATTCCATCCCTTCCTCAAGAGCTGCTCTTGGGGTCATGAAAAACTGGATGATGGGGGACCTCTGAGGGCCATGACGGGCACACACCTGGCAACCGTGGACAGTCTTGCCCATGCTGTCCCATCTTTAGGGTTTTGCTAAGGCCTGGTCGTGTGGACTAGTGGTGAGTTAGTGAAGAAAAGCAGCTTGTCTGGGGAAGTTCCCAACCTCCAAAGGGAGGAGAGGCATCCCCACGACCAGTCTGAGCTGGAAGAGTCCCTTCCTGCGAGACATTCAGGGCAGGGAGGAGCTGTTCACCTCTCTTCCTCATGCAGTGTGAGGGCCCTCCCCCTCATCCAGCATCCCCTTTTCTGCCCTTAGTGCTTCCTCTGGAGAGGCAGCTCCATGAGGCCGCCCGACGGAACAACATCGGGAGGATGAAGGAACTGATCGAGAGGAGAGTCAACGTCAGGGCCAGAAACCACGTTCGTCAAGGGGCTCTTCCAAATCGGGAGGCTTGCAGGCTTGGATAGGGATGGTGCCAGCCACGGTGACACCCACACATGGGAGGGACAGTTCATGGAGCCCAGGGCAGGAGCATTTGCATGTGTTCACTTGGGGGAGGCTTAGATTGTCCACGTTGTCTCGAGGTCTCTGTGGTCTTGTCCGAGGTCAGGGTTGGAATTCCCAGCCAGGCTTGGGCAATTTGAGAGCTCATACTCTTCACTCCTGTCACGCATCTGAAAGGCACACCCAAGTAACAAAGGTTAGAGTCAGGAGGGCAGGGGGTCGAAGGCCAGGAGTCAGAGGCTGACAGATGGACAGAGAGGAACAGAAGCCTGGAGGGACAAAGACTGAGTGGTGCTTGTGGTCAGAAGTCCAGGGGTTGGAGACCATGAGAGGCCAGAACAAGAGAGGCTGAGCATGCATGAGGAAGCAATTTAGCTTAGTTTTCTGATCGCCCACTGAGTGTGTAAAACTGTTGTGGGCCTAGGCAAGTCTCCGGGGACTCAAAGACCAGGTAGGGAGGCAGACCTAGCTCATCGATCAGGCCTCAAAAAAAGCCACAGATGGGGTGGTCCATAGCCCTGCTGGAGGAGACAGAGAGAAAAGCCATTCCCTCTAATGGGGGACACTGGCGATAGGCCTGGGTACCATGCAGGGTAGCTTCTCTCTACCTTGGGGCTTCTGGCTGCCAGGCTTGTCTTAGAGGAGATGCCAGCCTGGATGGGAGGTCAGTGGAGGCTGAAGGGGTTGGATGTAGGATTCCTGACTGTTGCAGAGGCTGCTCTGTCTGGGATGACATGACAGGTCTGTGACTTGCGTCTTCCGAGCCTGTCTGGGGCTCAGTGATAGTAACAGGAATTCTCAGGTGTGTCTGGTGCAGCTTGGTTTTCAGAACACTCCTCCACCTGCTTCCTGCTGGTCCTCCCTCACCCCTGGAGAGGTGAGGGAGGCAGGAAATGTCGATCCTATTTATAGATCCAGATAGGCACAGATGGGGATAGCAAGTCACCTTAGGTCACACAGCATTTTATTCATAACTGAAGCCTCAGTCTCCACTGGACAAACAGTTGCAAGGAAGCAGGGACTTAAAGGATGTAGTAGGATACTAATGCCAGATTCTGTCATTTACTCATCTCATTCATTCATTCATTCATTCATTCATTCATTCATTCATTCAGTATTTCTAAGGGGCTTCCCCTTTGCCAGCACTGTGCTAGGTGCTGGGGACAGAGCAGAGCCCATGGCAGATATGGTCCCTACGCTCTGGAGCTGATTGGCTGGTTAGGGAGAAGACAAACAGAGTGTCTCACAAACAGTTCATTCCCACTGTGATAAGCTGAGAGCATGTGGAGGTCAGAGGGGGCCCGTCCTCCCTGCAGCAGTCAGGGAAGGCTTCTCGAGGAAGTGGCATTTTTGTCAGGTGAAGACAGGCAGAGGGGACAGTAGGGGCAGAAATTCCAAGGAAGAAAGACCACACAGAAAATTAGTGTTCCCTTTCGTTGTCCCCTGGGAAGCTAAAAACTATGGTTCATGGGTCAGAGGAGGCAGGATTCCCCCAGGCCTGCTCAGATGTGTGGAGGCCAAAGACCATGATGAACTTCCAGGGTGGTCCGACGACGGGGTGAGGGATCGGCCCCTTCAGCCCGTTCTGAAGGAAGGAGGGGACAGAACCCAGGCAGTCAGGGGCCCTCAAGAACTAGGACAGTAGTCCTCTGACAGGTGGCTGTCCAGCAGGAACAAAGACAGGGCGAGGGGGAGTAGTCTGGCATTTCTGAGTCTTGGTGGGCAGGGCCCAGGGTGAGGAGTTTGTCCCAAGAGCAGTGGGAAGCTGTGAAGTTTTAGGTGGGGGACAGATGGGTCTAGTCATGGTGTTTGACTACGTTTGTTTCAGCTGCTGCCTTGTGGAGGAGGAGGAGGGGGCCTGAGTGGGGCTCGGGTCCCGCCCGCTTGTCACCACCAGACCAGCTGTCCTGCGGCTGGGGAGATGGGGAGGCGGGGAGGGGAGGTGGGCCAGGCAGGCAGCTGGCGCCCCAAGCCCTCCTCTCCCTCCCGGCAGGCGGGCAGGGTGGCCCTGCACTGGGCTGCAGGCGCCGGGCACGAGCCAGCTGTCCAGCTGCTGCTGGAGCACGAGGTTGCTGTGGACGATGAGGATGCGGGATGGGGCCGCTCTTACAGGCGCCCTGTGCCTGTGTGCATGTCTGTCTGTCTGTCTGTCCCAGGGCGGGGGAGGAGCCCAGAGCTCTCTCTGGGTCTGAGTCCGCTGTCCTTGTGGAGGTGGCCCTGACATGCAAACACAGGGTGCAGGGTGGACAGGGAATCCATCTTCAGGGGCCAGTGCCACTGTACTGATCCCAGTTTTCCCTTGTACAGCCGTAAAATCGCTCCATTTTCAAGAGTTATTTTAGTTCTCAGAGAGCCTTTTCAGTCCCTCATGATACCATATGAACAGGGAGAGATATGGGCTGTAGAACAGATAATTGGATGGATTGATAAAGGACTTATTAATAAAATCATCAGGAGGGAGGTCTCTCATGATACGACACAAGGCTCTGCCCTCGCTAACATTTTAACCAGAGACGTGAGTGAAGGCTAACAGTCTGGGGCTCCTGGGTGGCGCAGTAAGTTAAGCAACCAACTCTTGGTTTCCGCTCAGGTCTGATCTCAGGGTGGTGAGATCGCCCCGGGTCGGACCCTGCAGCGGGCTGTGCTCAGCAGGGAGTCAGCTTAGGACTCTTTCTCCCTCTGTCTTTTCTGCCTGCGTGCGTGCTCTCTCTCTCAAATAAATAGATAAATCTTAAAAAAAAAAAAAAAAAAAGACTAACAGTCTTACTTAACAAATTGGCAGGCAACACGTTGCTGAGAGAGAGCGCTGAAGAATAACAGCGTCTACAAAATCATTTCTATAGGTTTGGCAAAGAACTGGGTCTACCAATGACATTTGACAGGGGTACATTTAAGAGTCTAAATTTAAAAAATTTTAAAGAATTACGAACTTCCCTGCAGAGATATACCTTTCACGGAAATACCGTTCTTTGCCCTGGCCTCTCTCTGCTCCCAGGCCCCAGCATGAAGGGGAGCTTGATGACAAGCTGGGGCTGGGCGTGGGGCAGCAACACGTACCTCCCCACTCCCGCCCTATCTCTCTGCATTTGCTTAGGCCTCATTTAGAGGTGACTCTGGAAGGAGAATGTCTGGGATCCTTAGCCTGAGTTTCCTGATAAAATACTGGAACCTCATGCAACAGGCCTTTGCCCACAAAGATCCCCCCACTATCACCACTGTGCTCTTGTTATTTCTTCCTTGAGGGAATCGGTGAGAAAAGAAGATATGAGGGAGGATAGTAAGAGACAGTGCTTTTATAAATCTTCTGTTTCCTTTGCAAATAGTAATATATTTTGAAAAATAAGAAAGCTGATGGGCATGCCTACTTTAGTTAATAGAAGGGTGGGGGGAGACAAGAGAGGGAGATCCTGCTGTTGGGGGGAAGGTCTCGAGAGATATGCCATAGGGCTCTGTCCTGGACAGTTCTTGGAACTAGATGCAGAAATATCCCTGGGGTTCCCACTGGCAGGAGGCTCTGGCTCCCCCAGCCCTGAGCCTTGACCCTTTTCATTCCCAGGCTTCTATGGGCTTCTCCCCATGGACTCTGCCCTGTGTGTGTTCATTCTCTCCCTCAGCCAGCCAGGCCACAGTCACTGAGATTCTACCCAGTGCGGGGTCATAGGCAGAACCCATGAAGGCACAGGTTGGTGAAGGGGCTCTCTTGATCCCTCAGTACTTCACAGATGTTGAGGAAGAGCATCCTGGGCCATCATCGGAAAAGGGCCCAGACATATTCTCAGTTGCTGCAAAGCGCCGGTGGGGTGGAAGGTACAGGGAGGCAGATTTCAGTGCAGAGGAAGGAGAGACTTTCCAACAGTGAGCAGTGGTTGTTAGTGCAGTGCATGTCTTGTGAGGGGTGAGGTGTCTGTAGGCTTAAGCCATCTGCCTGGAGGCTGTCCTGTAGGATAGTCAAACAGTGGGCTCCCAAACACCAGTCCAGGATGAGGTCTTCACCAGCCATAGCAAATCAGAAAATAAGAACAATGTAGTGTGTTTTTCATGAAGCTGTATTTGGAAAGAGCATATTCTGTGATTAGTTCCTCCCAAATTTTTTATGTTAAAATGTTTCTTCTTTATTAAGTGATGGGGAGAATAGATGGTAGCTGTTTTATATATATATATATATTTATTTATTTATTTATTTATTGCCAGCACCAGCGGGGGAGGGGCAGAGGGAGAGGGAGAGAGAGAAGCCCAAGCAGGCTCCACGCCCAGCACAGAGCCTGATGTGGGGCCAGTCTCATGACCCAGGAGATCATGACCTGAGCAGAAATCAAGACTTGGATGCTCAACTGGCTGAGCCACCCAGACGCCCCTATTTTTAAATTTTATTTAGCAAAAACAAAAGTTTGCAATAGTGTCTCAGCCTCTATTTAAAAAAAAAAAAATGCCGTGGAGGGGTGCTTGGGTGGCTCAGTCTGTGAAGCGTCTGCCTTTGGCTCATGTCATGATCCCAGGGTCCTGGGATTGAGCTCTGTGTCCAGCTCCCTGCTCAGTGGGGAGTCTGCTTCTTCCTCTGCCCCTGCCCCTTCCCCCCACTTGTGCTCTCTCTCAAATAAATAAAAATGTCTTTTTTTTTTTTTTAAGATTCTGTTTATTTATTTGTCAGAGAGAGAGAGTGCATAAGCAGGGGTAGGGGTGGGGGAGGGAGCAGAGGGAGAAGCAGGCTCTGCACTGAGCAAAGAGCCATATGTGGGACTTGATCCCAGGACCCTAGGATCATGACCTGAGCTGAAGGCAGACGCTTAACTGACTGAGCCACCCAGGCATCCCAATAAATAAAATATTTTTTTTTAATTTAAAAAATAAAAAATAAAAAAATGCCATGGTTTTGACATTCCTTAACCTCGGTGCTCCCTGGCCTGGGTGGCACTTATGGTCCCTTATGGTTGTATGATTTTCAGTGCAGACATGGGCCCAGGTGGCACAGCCACACCTGCTCACATTCACCTCCCCTCCTCCCCGTGTCCTCTCCCCTAGTTTGGGATGAACGCGCTTCTCCTGTCTGCCTGGTTCGGCCACTTACGGATCCTCCAGATCCTGGTCAACTCTGGGGCCAAGATCCACTGTGAGAACAAGGTAAGGCCTCAGCTGGCAGCCCCCTTGCTCCCCAAGCCCCTGCCCTCTCTGTTTCCTTGGCTCTGCTGCACTGGTGTGCCCCCACCTCTGCCATCTACCCCCAGCTCTGCCCCGTCTTACTCCCCACGTGGCTCTGCCGTCCCAGCTTGCTTTGCCTTCTGAGAACCCTCCAGAAGCCCCAGCTGAACTCAGCCCTGTGAAGTTGGGATGCTAGCTGTTTCCACTGGGGCCGGGAGAAGTGCTGGGGTGCCTCTCCCGTCGGCATTAAAAGCCTCTTTCTTTTGGTGCCCCTGACCCTTTACCACTCTGTCATGTTGGGACAGTTGCTAGCCCTCTGGGCAGCCTCCTTATTCACACAAGAGGAATCAAAGTAACACCCCAGAAGGTGGTTAGAAGATTTAAGGAGACAGAGGCTGGGGCCTCCTCCCACCTCCCCCTCGGCCCTGCCTCCCTTGTGGTGCAGTGGGGTGGAAGGAGCAAAGTTCTGGTCCTGGGACCTTGGGCAAATTACTTAAGCATCCTGAGCCTCAGTTTTCACCTTGGAAAATGGGGATGCTAGTACTCACCTCTGAGCTGAGGGAGCAGCTCAGTGCTGTCTATCAAGTATCTGGCTCAGTGCCTGGCACGTTAGGGAGCCTGGCGCTCCCTCACTGCTCATTGGGGTGCTCTGTGGTATGAGGGAGGAAGCACCAGTGAGTCAGAGTGCTGGGCTTCTCTGCACTGGGGGCTTACCTTTTCGGGGGTCAGCGCCCTTCACTGACTCCTATCAGGGGGCATAGGACACTATGCAATGACAAAACAAAAACAATTTAATTAAGTAAGTAAACTCTGTGCCCAACGTGGGGCTCCAACTCATGACACCAAGATCAAGAGTCACATGCTCTACCAACTGAGCCAGCCAGGAGCCCCCAAAATGCAAATAGCTTAGTCGTGAGTTTGATGTCCTTTATTCAAAAGAAAACCTTTCCTGGATTGAGGGACTACAGCCCTTCAAAGTAGTTGAGCACTCTTCTGGAGGGATTTGGGGCAAGAGCAAATTTTGTAGAGCCCCCCAAAGCAACAACAGAAATGGCAGGATTGGCTGCTAGGGAGGGGGATTTCCTTGTAAGGCTAGCGGGTCCTGTTTTCTAGGGTAGGGGGAGTTAGTACGGCTGAGTGTATGTTAGGTTGTCATTGGCGTATGTTAGGTTTCCTGTAAGTGCAGGCTGAGGTAGGTTTATATATATATATATATATATATATATATATATATATATATATATACACACACACACACACATATACATATATGTATATATATGTATTTATTTGAGAGAAAGAGAACATGAGCAGGGGAGAGGAGCAGAGGGAGAGGGAGAAGTTGAGCTGAGCAGGGAGCCTGATGCAGGGCTCGATCCCAGGACCCTGAGATCATGACCTGAGCTGAAGGCAGACGCTTAACTGACTGAGCCCCCCAGGTGCCCCAGAGGTAGGATTAGATTTGTGACCTGGGCCAGGTCACTGGGGCAGCCTCTATTTTGTAGGTCTCAATATAAGAATTAACTTTATCAATACCAATATGACCTGTCACTGGTGATGTTACCTTGATCCAGTTCTGACACCAATTCTAATGTGTGTGTTTTTTCCATATCACAAGCAATTAGTTCAATTCTCCATGGACACTGACTGGGTATCCCACAAATTTAACCCAATTCCAACACTATCTGCCTGGAGATATCATCAGATTCCACTGGTTAAGGGCTCAGTCCCACAAGACCACCCCCATTTCAGAAGCCAATCCCAAGTCCACGCTATCACCTGGGCTTCTGACCGACTGGCTATAAATCAGAGGTTCCCACGACCTCCTCCTTAAGGTTGGTTAATTTGCTAGAGGGGCTCACAGAACTCAGGAAACCAGTGTACTCACTAGATCACAAATTTATTCCAAAGGATATTAAAGGACACAAATCAATAGCCAGATGAAGAGACACATAGGGTGAGGTCCCCAACAAAGGAACTTTTGTCCTTGTGGAGCGTGGGACCCGGCACGTGGATGCATTCTTGTTCACCAACCTGCAAGTTCTCCCAATGCTGTCCTTTTGCATTTTTATGGAGGCTTCATTTCATAGACTTGATAGATTAAATCCTTGGTCATTGGTGATTGACTCAACCTCCAGCCTCTCTCCCCTCCCTGGAGGTCAGGGGGTGGGACTGAAAGTTCTAACCCTCTAATTGAGTTGGTTTCCCAGGCAACCAGCCCCCATCTTCAGGTTACCTTGGGCTTCCCTTGTCACCAAATTAACATAACAATAGACACCTTAATCACTCTGTACACTTAGAAAATACCAAGGGTTTTAGGAGCTCTGTTAACAGAAATAGGATGAAGACCAAATACATATTTCTTATTATAAACCATAATTTCACACTTAATCACGTGGATAAAGTGGTGTTGGCCAGGTTTCTCCACTGGAATGTTAGCATTTTTCCCCTTTCCATACTCTATTGTTAGAAACTCTTTGTAGTTTTAATTTGCATTTCAGTAATGACTAATGATGTTAGGTATCTTTTTATGTGCTTATTTGCCATCCATATATCTTCCTTGTGTCCAAATGATTTTTTAATTGAGTTGTTTAATAGCTCATTAATGAGCTTTTAGAGTTCTTTATAAATTTTGGAAGCATTTCAAAATAAATTACAGACATCACTATACTTCCCTCTAAATACTTCAGCATGGGGGCGCCTGGGTGGCTCAGTCGTTAAGCGTCTGCCTTCGGCTCCGGTCATGATCCCAGGGTCCTGGGATCGAGCCCCGCATCGGGCTCCCTGCTCCGCGGGAAGCCTGCTTCTCCCTCTCCCACTCCCCCTGCTTGTGTTCCCTCTCTCGCTGTCTCTCTCTGTCAAATAAGTAAATAAAATCTTTAATAAATAAATAAATAAATAAATAAATAAATAAATAAATAAATAAATACTTCAGCATGCATAATATTAACTAGAATTCAATTTCTTTATCTAAAATGACATACAAAAATCTTAAGTTTATATTCACTGAGATTTGACAAATTTTACTCCAGTGTAATCCAAACTACTGTCAAGATGTACAACATCATTCAATATATTGATTTTTATGACCCATCGATGGTTGCAATCTATTTGAAAAACAAGACTCCAAACACTCCAGCTATAATGCAAGGCCTTGGTAGAAGCTCTGGGCTATAAACATAGGATTTGCAAACGTCCCTCACTTAAATATTGCTTCTGGGGCCAAGAGACCTTCTTCCAGCCTACGCCTCTTCCCACCCTGGCCACTTACCCTCTGTTAAAGAACAAAATTCAAGTGAGTAAATTTAAAGATCTAATTGCTTTATTCAATGATTCATGAATTGGGCAGCATCCCATCTAGCAAATAGAAAGGAGCTCTAGGGAGCTGTACAAAATGAAAGACTTTTATAGGCAAAAGACAGTGGGGCAAGGAAGTTACTCTAGCAAAGAGTGGATTGTTTTAGGCAAGATCACCTTCCTTTGGGGGCCAGTGGGGGTGTCTGTCAGGTGGATTTCCTCCCTAGTGTTGACCAGGAAATTCCAGACTGACTGGTTAAGATTACTTATCTGGGAGAGGCTGAAGTTGCAGTTGGGTTAGATATTAAGTGTCGATTTGGTGATGTGGGTGGGCCTTAGCACAAGTGACTCCATTGGGAGTCTACTTTCTCCTTTTTTAACACCTCGTCTCTGTAGATTCCATCAGCTCTCAGCCCTCCCTGGAAGCTTAGGAGGTGACCTCCTAGAGACAGATCCTGGGCACTTAGTCACCTCTTTTCTCATCTGGGGCCGTATCAAGGCAAGCAGATGTTGTAACCTTGTAATAATGTCCTGTGAGGGGTATTCTGGGGACTGTCAGTGCTATACAACCTCACCTTACATCCTGAGTTATTTTTCAGCGTATAAAAAGACTTCCTGTAGGTGATGCCCCCTCAGCCACCAATTGAGGTAGTCAGGGGTTATCCTGGTTTGACCTAGGAGAAAATGGAGGCTCATGAAGGTACACATAACTTGGTCAAGACCACACTGCATTGCTGATCAATGCTGGAGCTGGGATTTGAACTCTGGCATCCTGACTCCCACCAGCCCCTCTAAGGCTGAGTGGGGCACCCGTGGGTGGCTCAGGGGTCCATCCCCATTTACATACTGTGTTGTTTCCGTGGGAAGGCTGTGTTCTGGATTGCAAACACTCACCGTTTGGGAGACAGCCAGGGTGTGAGAAGGGCCCCCCTTCATAGACTGTAGGGACCACCCTGGTCTACCACCTCGTTTCCAGGACGGCCTGACCTTATTACACTGTGCAGCCCAAAAAGGCCACATGCCGGTGCTGGCGTTCATAATGGAGGACCTGGAGGATGTGCCCCTGGACCATGCTGACAAGGTGAGAGTGGCCTCAAGGCTGCTTGTCCTTCCCATTGGGTTTGGGGCTCCTGGGGCCACTCTTGCCCATTCCTTGAGTGCATCCTTTGAGATGTGAGTAGTGCAGACTGGACCCCACCTCAGGGAACTGCTGGCCTAGAAAGGGTGTTAGAGCACAAATGAGCGGGACATAGGAGGAAAATGGTCAGTTCCCTCAGAGAGGTTCTGATGAGGACTAACTAGATAGGTTAGAGACGGGAGCTATTGCTTTCTGCTTCCTGGATGAGGTGGCATTTAGTGAGTAACCTGGATTTTGTTGGTAAGATTGGAAAGCAGGGAGATTTTGTAAATAGAGAGAAGAGCATTGTCAGAGCTTTAAAGGTGAAAAAGGCCCTTTGCATGTGAGTTCAGATGGACTGGAATTTTGGGAGTGAGAGCCAGGGCCATGTTGGGAGCCCCTCATGGAAATCTCCATCGACCTCAAGCCTCAGGAATCTGTCCTTTATTCAGTAGACAGCAGAGAGCCACAGAAGGATTTCAGTGGGGGAGGAACCCACCCTGTGGGTCTTGTTGGAAAGTTGGGTCTAGGCTTTCCAGGTAAGGTGGTAGGACGAGGGGAAGGGAGAGTTACTGGGGCAGGAGAGGCCCCTGCAAGCCCTGAGTGGTTGGCTAGGTGGGCAGTGTGGGCGTGCCTCCTACAGAGTACAGAAGGGTCACTTTCTTCCCCTCCCCGGTCAGCTGGGAAGGACGGCGTTCCATCGGGCTGCTGAACACGGGCAGCTAGATGCTCTGGACTTCCTTGTGGGCTCTGGCTGTGACCACAGTGTGAAAGACAAGGTACTGTAACTGGGTCCCAGGGGAGGTCCAAGCTCTGGGCTCCTGACCGGGGTGGGCGCTCTCTGGCAGCTGACCTGTGCCTACTTCTGACTCCAGGATGTTGGAAGGGCAGGCGGCTCAAGGACAGAGAGGGTTGGATATTCATCCTGCAGCCATTTTTCAAGCACACGCTATGGGCCTGTCCCGTGCTGCGCGTGAGGAGCTCAAAGATATCCAAGACACAGTTTTTCAGCCAAGGAACCCGAGCTGCCACCCTAGTAGAAAGCTGTGATCAGGTGTGGGGAGCTGGGATGGCAAGTCTGTTGGCTGGTGGTGCTGCCTGGAATGGGTTTGAGCAGGACTGTGATGCCCTTGGGGTTGTCTGTTGTTTCAGGTGAGAGGAAGAGTTGGGGGGGCGGGTGGCCACGCACCCGCTGGTTATTTACTCTTTGTCATTTAGTCATCTGCTATGGTCATGGCAAAAGTGGGATGAGAGCCCGGAGGAGGGAACAGTTGGTTCAGGGTGGAGAGCTTCAAGCAGGATTTCATCAATCTGAGGAGAGGTGAGGGCTGGGCCTGAGGGGACTACCCTGAAAATGACTCATTTCAGTGGGCCATTGTGAATCATTAGGCAAGTATGTTGCAGCAAATTCTAAACAACACTTCCAGTAAAGGGACAGACTCCATTATTAATCTTCTGATTAATGTTCTTGGCCAGGATAGAGGAGTTCTGTTTATAAGCTAGTGACAGGCAAATGCACACAGGGTATTAGAACTGGAAGTGTCCTTCATTGAGGACCAATCAACCTTCTCATTTTATAGATTGGAGGTCCAGAGAGGGGGATGCTTTAGCCAGGGTCACACAGCAAGACAAAGGTTGGGCTGGGTTTGGAACCAGCAACCTGATGCCCAGCCCTGGGCAGCTCCCTCTCTTCAAGCTGCCTCCTGGGGCACTAAGCCCTTGGGGTTTGCACCGAATCCACCTGTCTACACTCATCCTTTTGGTCCTGAGAATCAGATCAGGCTGATTTCCTTCATTCTGGAAATGGGCTGAACAGGTCATGCTCTGGACTAGACTGTGTAGGATGTGGGCCAAGAACTGTGGGAGTACAGAGAGGAGTGAAGGACAGCTCCTGCCAGGGTGCTTCTACCTCGGAGGTTAAAACACGATTGTATTCAGGGTGCCAGGAGGGCAGGAACACCAAAACTGGAAAACAAGCAAAGCCCAGCTTTGATGAGCTTACCCAGAATCTTGCAGTCAGAAATTCTAGAAAGAAGCTTTTAAAATTGCATGACCCTATTGGCACCTGGGTGGCTCAGTCAGTTAAGTGTCTGCCTTTGCCTCGGGTCGATATCCCGGGGTCCTGGGATCTAGCCCTGTTTTGGGCTCCCTGCTCAGCGGGGAGTTTGCTTCTCCCTTTCCCTTTGCCCCTCCCCCCTGCTTGTGCTCTCACTCACTCTCTCTCAAATGAATAAATAAAAAATTCTTTTTTAAAAAACTTGCATGCCCCTGTTAAGTTTTGTATTTTCAGGTGAAAGATGTTTTCGTTTTGAATTTCATTTGGGCAGGAGGCATAATAATATGCTTTTCAAGACCCAGTGCCGTTAAAGGTCTGACGCCTGCTAGGACCCCACAGCCTGCTAAGATGGTCCTGTGACAACACAGGGCACGCCACAGGTGTTGTGATGTTAGGGAGGCTTTGAGAGTCCAGAGGGAGTGATTAAATCCCCTGGGAATATCGAGGGGGCTGCTGACAAGGCGTCCCAGAGATAGAGAGCCTGGGCATCCTCACAGGAGGAGGGGCGAGGACACTGAGCCCAATGCCATGGCCTCCTTCTGTCCAGCTCTCCTGCCTCTGAGCCCCCTACCCGCCCAGATAGAGTGAGAGTTGCTCTGTTAGGGGGGCTGTGCCACCTGCACCTTCAAAGAGCAAGATGTGTGTGGGACGCCTGGGTGGCTCAGTTAGTTAAGTGTCTGCCTTCAGCTCAGGTCATGATCTCGGGGTCCTAGGATCGAGCCCCGCATCCGGCTCCCTGCTCAGCGGGAAGCCTGCTTCTCCCTCTCCCTCTGCCTGCCACTCCCTCTGCTTGTGCATGCGCTTTCTCTCTTTCTGTCAAATAAATAAATAAAATCTTGAAAAAAAAAAAGAGCAATATGTGGATATTTATAACCCAGAGGGAAAACAAAACCCTGCCCCTGTCTTCACAGCCCTGCTACTTGGGGGCACATATTGGCCCCCATGGTTCACCACTTCCTTTGTGTTTCCTGGAACACAGACTTCACACCCTCCCCCAGCCCGGCCCGGGCCGGCAGCAGCTGTAGGGAGCTGTGCGCACATTTGCAGAGACGGTGGGCAAGAAGCAAACAAGGCTGTTCAGGGGACATTTTGTTGTTGTCATTGAGGGGATTTTTTTATTTTTTTATTTTTATTTTTTAAAGATTTATTTATTTGACACACAGAGAGAGACAGCTAGAGAGGAAACACAAGCAGGGGGCGTGGAAGAGGGAGAAGCAGGCTCCTGGCTGAGCAGGGAGCCCGATGTGGGGCTCGATCCCAGGACCCTGGGATCATGACCTGAGCCGAAGGCAGACGCTTAACGACTGAGCCACCCAGGCGCCCCGAGGGGATTTTTTTAAACTTAACTTTTATTTATTAATGCAACGTGGTAATGATCATAGAAGAAATTTAAATGTTTCACCTTCGATCCCATAGGATATAGTTGTTTTATGTATGTGTGGAGTTCTCATGAGGGGAGGTATGTCTATAGCTGCTTTAAGTACCACTTTGGCATTGGTATTTGTTCACCCCCTCACTGGGCCCTTAAGAGTTCTGGTCTGATGTGCATGTCTTGATTCCTTCCTCAGGAAGGTGCTGAGACAGGCTAGGGCAGAGGAAAAGACCTTGAGCTAGAAGCCCCCATGACTGGTGTAGCTAGATATATCCCAGAGCCCTTCTGGGCGTGATGAATGGCTGAAGCTGGCTTGTCCCTTCTGATGCCTTTGTGGGTTCCCTCAGGGGCCCCTGCTCTGGTTCTCCACGTGTGGTTCTTCCTGAGAGACATACTTCTCTGGCTGGCCCCTTCCAGCTCTCCTCCTCTTTGCTGGGGCCCCTTCACCATGCACTTGTCCTCTGCAGAAAGATTCCCTTACAAAAAAAAAAAGATTTATTTATTTTTAGAGGAGCAGAGGGAGATGGAGAAGCAGACTCCCCGCCAAGCACGGAGCCTGATATGGGTCTCGATCTCATGACCCTGAGATGAAATCAAAAGTCGGATGCTTAACTGACTGAGCCACACAGATGCCCCTGCAGAAAGATCCCTTTAAGGACAACCCCATCAGGCTGCCCTTGGCAAGAGCCACTTCTGATACAAAGAACAGCGTGCCCTTTGCCACACCCAGGGGAGCCACAGTGACACAAGTCACCTTTAGACTTCTCAAGTGTGAGACAATTACCAGCCCTGTGGTTCTCAAGTTCCAGGAGACACATGTCAATCTCTCCATCACAGTATTTACTCACTGAACAAATATTTTATTGAATGTCTGCCATGTGCCCCAGGCCTTATTCTAGGCACTTGAGGAAACATTGGAGAACAAAAACAGACAGAAATCCCTGCCCTTGAGGTGTTTATGTTCTAGCAGGACGAGTCAGACAATAAATAATAAGCATAGTATACAAGCAAATGATAGTGTGTTATCAGTGCTATGGGGGAAAAGAGAAAGAAAAGTCCAGCAAGATCAGGGGATTAGGAGGACAGAGGGTGGGAACTGCAGTTTTGTTTTATTTTAAGATTTTATTATTAGAGAGAGAGAGCACACGCGTGAGTGAGAGCACAAGCAGGGGGAGGGGCAGAGGGAGAGGGAGAAGCAGGCTCCCCACTGATCAGGGAGCCCAACACAGGGCTTGATCCCAGGACCCCGAGATCACGACCTGAGCCAAAGACAGACGCTTAACCCACTGAGCCACCCGGGCGTCCCCAGAGTTGTGGTTTTAAGTAGTATGGTCAGCGCGACCGCACTATTCAATGAGAAGCTACCATCTTGAATTGGGCCATGCAGCTGGCTGCCCGGGCACAACCTGAGTGCCAAGGAGAGTCCTTGGAGCTGTGGCCTTGAGCAAGGGAAGGGGATGGATTGAGGATGGCTCAAAGAGGGACTGGCTTTGGACAGGGGCATGGAAAGTAGGGATTGTTTTTCCCCCCAAGTATTGTGTCTGCCTTCAAGTGTGAGGAAAGACCAGGACTTGGCCCTTGGAAGTGCCCCTGGTTGTAGTTTGGGGCACAGTTCTCACAGGCAGGGAGACATTGGCCCAGGGCTCGGGGCTGCAGTTTTTCGTCGACTCGCTCTGTGACCCCCGATGTGTCACTTCCCCTCTCTGGACCTCAGCTTCCATGTCTATACAATGAGGGGCATTTCCAGCAGGTCCCCAGGGCCTTGAAGGGTCTATGATTCTACCGGTCCCTCGGGAGCCCTTCTGCCTGCAGGAGGGGAACACGGCCCTTCACCTGGCTGCCGGCCAGGGCCACCTGGCTGTGCTGCGACGGCTCGTGGACATCAGGCTGGACCTGGAGGAGCAGAACGCGGTGAGTCATCACCCAGAGGATGCAGAGATGCTCGCTCGCTCCCTGCTTTCGAGGAACGGACGGCCCGAGGTGCAGCCTGATTTTCCCCTGCTAGAGGCTTCCTGGAGTAAGAAGGAATAGACAGAGAGCAGGGGGTGAGGCAGCTTGGAGGGGGAGAACGTGAGCAGGGCTGTGGAGGTGGGAGTCAATGTACCACATGCTCCTCAATGTGAGAAAATCAGGTATGGGGCTCAGGGAACCACAGATAATGATGCAGGTTATTGTCCTCAGTAGCATGGCCATGGAGAGCTCCCAGAGCCCTGGAGCCCTAGCGGGAGGGGTCCCTCTCCCCTCAGGGTCTGGCCTCAGCCTCCCTGCCATCCTCAGACCTCTCCCCGTGTGTTTCAGGAAGGTCTGACTGCCCTGCACGTGGCGGCTGAAGGTGTCCACCCTGACTGTGTACAGCTCCTTCTTGAGGCCGGGAGCTGTGTGAACGCCCTCACCCAGGTAGTCAGTCCTCCCCCGGGACGGATGTCTGCCCTTGGCTTCTGAGGCCTAACTCTAACCGTGCCCACGGTAGCAGCCACAGTGATTCCTGAACGTGTGTGAATAGGGGCCCTCAGGCAGCAGGCCTGGGGTCTGGTCTTGGCTTCTCCACTGCGGGGCTCTGTGACCGAGGCCAAGTCACTTAAATTCTCTGAGCTTCATTTTCCAACTATAATAGGGGGATGCTACGTAGTCATGTTTTTACAGTGCTGTGAAGAGTAAATACTCCTCCCAGGGCCTGGGACGTGCTAGGAGCTCACCACCTGTTGGTGTCTTCTTATTGCGGGGTGCTTGGTAGTTCATGAGTCCCCTTTATAACAAGCCCTTCAGAAAAATTACCCCTGTTATACCGATGAAGAAACGGAAGCTTAGAGAGATTCAGTGACTTTCGCGGGTCACAAGCTGGCAAGAAGCAAAGCTGAGTCTGAAAAGCCTATTCCCCGGACTGCAGAGCTCATGGCCTGGAAGGTTTGCCCAGTCTGTGCAGGAGCCCCACCAGCCCCCGGAGCTGGAGCCTGGGGCAGGCCTCTTCTCTCTCTCACTACTGACTCCTTAAGTCAGCCACTGGAAATTCTCTCCGTGTCCTGGAAAAAGGGGCGTTGTGGACTTAGGGAGTTGGCGTTTTTGTTTTGTTTGGCTTTTTACTTTTAGATCAATGACAAATAATCTGTCTTGGCTGATTGCATGGCTTCAGGGTCTGGAATTCTCTATTTGTTCTAAATTTCAATAATAAAGCAATAATAATAAATAAAATATGCTAGCAAAAATAGTGAAAAAGCCCAGGAATTAAAATAGTATGCTAGAAATATTTAACACAAAAGAAGGCAACCAAGGAGAAACAAAGAACAAAAAAGATAGGAGACATACAGAAAATAAGTAGCAAAATGACAAACGTAAATTCAATAATAATATCAATGTTAACCGCCCCCCCCTTCGATGTGAATAATACTTTATAAGTCACAAAACACTTAATTTGCAGAACTCCCCTAGCAGGTACACCTTGCTTCCCCAGGGTGTCGGGATGACACCAAGGCCCACCCAGAGGGTGGAAGCAGCTGCCCCAGGGCACCCAGCTAGGTCCTTCCATCGGCACAGTGTTGCTCTTTGGGCAGCAACCGTGTCTCTGTGCCCAGCACAGTGCTCAGGACTGGAAGGGGGCACAAGAAGTGAAATGTCAAGGCCATCTCCCCAGCAGCAGCAGCATAGGAGTTTAGGGACTGGGGAGATCGTGTCCAGCTGGTGGTCATTGGCAGGGCTAGAGCTGCCCTCTGCCCTGGGCCTTGTGCTCTTGCCTTGGCTTGAGGTTTCTGGTAGTGGGCACATTCTACCTGGACACCCCCACCCCTCACAGGGTCTCTGGAGTGGGGGCTAACCCAAAGGGAGTACATTTGCCATTGGGAGGTGGACTGGTTCCCACTCACCCTGTGTACTCAGTTCAGATAGGACTTTGGGAGGGTGACCAGCTCGTCCCAGTTTACCCCATACCGTCCTGGTTTTAAAACTGAAAGTCCTGGGGGAACAGTCTGGGCAGTCTGGGACCCCTGATTGCCTAGAGAGGTCTGCCTGGCAGAGTTAGGGGGAGGGGGTATCACATGTGAGATCGTTGTTTGACCGGGGGTGCCCTTGGATTGAAGGAGGGCACTTAGAAGGCCCATCGGGATGAAGCCTTGCCCTGGTGCTGCCCAGCTCCTGCCCGGATGTGCTGAGACCAGATCTAGTGGGGCAGTGCGTGCCAGGTGGGGTTTGCTCTGTGCTAGCAGATCTTATTTATTCCTCTCTTTGAAAACCTCAGAGTATACTCTACGTGTCTTTACCAGCCTAGGAATTGTGCAGGCTTTGATATATGTTCTGGAGTTTGTGACAGGAGGCATGGAAAAGCCAGGACCACAGTGAGCTCCTTTTACTCATCACCAGGCCTGGGCAAGGCAATTGATTTCTCCAGCCTCAGGGTTCAAGGGGTAATTGTCCCGGGGGTTGTGAGACACAAATGGAATAATGGATCCCAAAGCCCCACTGTGAGGGGCTTTCAGGACATGGCACTGATGCCTGTTTCTTTCTAGAAAAAACAGAGCTGCCTCCACTACGCAGTCCTCTGTGGCTCTGAGGACGTGGCCCGGGCCCTCATCCATGCAGGAGGCCACACCAATGTGGCTGATCATGTAAGTGTGGGGGCCTGGGTTGAAAGGGGGTCCCCACTGCAAAGTCCCCATGACCTCGCTGATGAAGCACAGCAGGGAGAGATGGGTGCTTTGGGCCCCTGGGGTTGGCATGAGGGCCAGGACTGGAGGACCTGGTAGCTAGCGTGAGGGAGGATCAGATAAGTTTCTAGCTAGAACAGGCTTAGCAAACAAGCTGCATTTTCTCCCAAGCAAATTATTCGCTCGTGTTCTCCACTCATTTATCCATTGGGACTTAGTGATGGTCTTTTATATCACAGATCTAGCCTCTTGGTTGTTCATTTTTTCTTGTTATGTTGTGGTGCACTCACAGGAGACAGTATATCCTTGTGGTTAAGGCATGTACTTTGTCAGACAACCTGGCTTTGAGGCCTGGCACTGCCGTTCACATACTGAATGACCTTGGGCAAGTTGCTTGGACCTCGTTGGGCCTTTGTTTCTTTATCTTTAGGTGCTATTATTATTCCCATTATATAAATGAGGAACTATCTATTGTTTAAATTAGAAACAGGTCATTTCTTTTTTTTTGTTTTTTTGTTTTTTTGTTTGTTTTTTAAGAGGTCATTTCTTAAATAAGCACTATATTTTAAATTATTGTAAGAACAATATAGCACAGTTCATTGGAATATGGAGAAAAAAGGCATCCCTAATCCCAGCACCCTGGTAAAGCAATGATCTTTCTGTATTCCCTTCCAGTTTTCTTTGTATGTGTAGTAGCACCTCTAGCTAGAAAGAATCCAAGCTAAGGCGGAATTCTGGAAAGGGGGATGCTTATTTGTTTTTAACCATCAAGACATCAGAATTTTGATTCGGGTCCAGTGGAGACTCTATCCAGCTCAGGTATCAAATGTTGCTAGTTTTTCTAGCAACCATTTTTAATACCAGATGTGGTTCGGTGACTACATCACACTTAACAGTTCCTCAACTATCAGGTATTTAAGTTTTTTCTGACTTTGCCAGGCTAAATAATGATTTATGAACATCTTTATGGCCTGTAACTTTGTATGTCTTTTGCATTATATATGAATTCTCCAAAGAGGATTTCTGGGTCAGGTGGTAAAAACATTTTTATGATAGCCCCCAGTAATTTATGAGTGACCTTTCACCAATATTACGTATTAACATTTTCTATAAATTTTATAGTTAAATGATTCTTTGTTATTGTTTTATTTTCAATCTCTTTGATTACTATTGACCCTGAAATTTTCCCAATAATTTTTCTAGTTGAGGTTCTTCTATTGTGAGTTATTTCTTCCTATCCTTTGTCTACGTTGATGTGGTTTTTCCTTAACCAGTTTCTTTGAGGTTATTACTCTTGGATCATAATATATGTTGCTTACTCTTAGAACTTTTCAACATGCTAAAGATGTAAATGTGTAATCACAGGTATTGATGCAAATTTTGAATTTTAATTTAGGAATCTTCTAGTTACAATTTGATTTTTGATGTTTAACTCTTTAATCCTCCTACAGTATATTTTTTTGTATATGGTGTGATATATTACTCAATAGATTCCCCCCAATATTTTAAATATTTCTATGTCAAGTGCATTTATTAAATAATTATAACTTCTCTTAAGTACTTTTTCATTCTTTCCTTTATCACATATTCACATTTTGGTATATGATGTGCTCTATGTCTGGGCAAGTGATTCTCTTTCAGTAAGTTTTATGTCTAATCTTGAGCTAGTACCATATTATTTTAATTATTGTTGCCTTGTAATTTGTTTTAAAGTCATATAAAGCTAGTCTTCTTAAATATCCTAGTCTGTTAGTATAATCTTTTATCCTTTTATATTCTCACATGTTTATTTTTCCAGCTGAAATTTAAAGTATTTTTTTTAATTAAAAAATCAACTTAAGGATACAAAATCAATGTACAGAAATCTTGTGCATTCCTGTATACTAATAATGAAACAGCAGAAAGTGAAGTTAAGAGAACAATCTCACATCACATCAATAAGAGAAAGGATAAAAACCATATGATTATTTCAATAGATGTGGAAAAAGCATTTGATAAACTACAACATCCATTCATGATAAAAACCCTCTGCAGAGTAGGTCTAGAGGGAACATATCTCAACATAATAAAGGCTTTATATGAAAAACCCACAGCCAACATCATACTCAATGGAGAAAAACTGAGAGCTTTTCCACTAAGATCAGGAACAAGACAAGGATGTCCACTCTCACCACTTTTATTCAACACAGTACTGGAAGTCCTAGCCACAGCAATTAGAGAGCATAAAGAAATAAAAGGCATCCAAATTGGTAAGGAAGAAGTAAAGCTGTCATTATTTGCAGATGACATAATATTATATATAGAAAACCCTAAAGATTCCACCAAAAAACCACTAGAACTGATACATGAATTCAGTAAAGTTGCAGGATATAAAACTGATGTACAGAAATCTGTTGCATTCCTATACACTAATAATGAAACAGCAGAAAGTGAAATTAAGAAAACAATCCCAGGGGCACCTGGGTGGCTCAGTCAGTTAAGCATCTGCCTTCAGCTCAGGTCATGATCTCAGGGTCCTGGGATGGAGCCTCACATCCGGCTCCCTGTTCAGCGGAGAGTCTGCTTCTCCTTCTCCCTCTGCCTCTTCCCATGCTCGCTCTCTCTTTCTCTCAAATAAATAAATAAAATCTTAAAAAAGAAAGAAAAAAAATCCCATCTACAATTGCACCAAAAACAATAAAATTATCTAGGAATAAACTTAACCAAAGAGGTGAAAGACCTGTACTCTGAAAACTATAGAACACTGATGAAAGAAGTTCAAGATGATGCAAAGAAATGGAAAGACATCCCATGCTCATGGGTTGGAAGAACAAATATTAAAATGTCCATAGTACATAAAGCAATCTACAGATTTAATGCAATCTGTATCAAAGTACCAAGAGCCCTTTTTCACAGAGCTAGAACAAACCTAAAATTTGTGCAGATGCCCTGCACTCCTTTGTCCTTTCAGATTGCTGCAAGGTGTGGCTCATAGGTGTAATAAAAACAGGTTTTTTGTTTTATCTATTTATCTTTTTTAAAGTGAGCTCTACACCCAACATGGGGCTCAAACTCACGACTCTAAGATTGAGTTGCATGCTCTACCAATTGAGCCAGCCTGGTGCCCCATTTATCTTTTTTTTTTTTTCTTAAACAATTGAAGTTCAAAATAGCTAAGAACACTCTGAAAGAGAAAAGGGGTACGGGAGTTGTCCTAAATCCACATACCATAAAAGACTGCTAAACTTGATTATATAAATAATAAAAACATTTTGCCTGGCAAAAGAGACTATAAGCCAAGTCAAAAGGTAAATGACAAACCAGATTCAAAGATAAAGAACTGAGTCTTTCTAATATATAAGAGTTTGTGCAAATTATTACAACATAAAAAACAACCCACGAGAAAAATGGCCAAAGGATATGAACAGACATTTTTATAGAAAAGAAATACAGATGACTCTTAAGAGAAATGTGAATTGATACTACCTGGACATACATCCACTCATCAGATTGGTACAAATCCCAAAGTTTTGCCAAATGTGTTGACAAAGCTGTGGGGAAGTAGGCACCATCATATATTACTGGAGCCAGCATAAATTGGTACAACCATACAACAGAGCAATTTTCGCAATATGTATAACAAAGTGCAAATGCATGGGCCCTTTGACGAAGCAAATCTACTTCTAGGAGTCATGATATTTGTCTTTCTCTGACAGACTTATTTTGTTTAACTTAATACTCTCTAGCTCCATCCATGTCATTGCTGAGGCAAGATTTCATTCTTTCTTATGGCTGAGTAGTATTCCATTTTATATAGAAGATGTGAGATATATATGTATATATGTATATATATATATATATATATATATATATATATAGTTTATCCATTCATCAATCGATGGACATGGGCTACTTCCATAATTTGGCTATTGTAGATAATGCTGCTATAAATATCAGGGTGCATGTATCCCTTTGAATTAGTATTTTTGTATTCTTTGGGTAAATACCTAGTAGTACAATTGCTGGGTTGTAGGGCAGTTCCATTTTTAATTTTTTAAGGAACCTCCATACTGTTTTCTACGTGGCTGCACCAGTTTGCATTCCCACCAACAGTACAAGAGAGTTCCAAATTGGGGAAGTTTTTAAACAAATATATGAATAGATCTTAATGCTGTAGTTATGTGAAAAAAACAAGATGAGCATTCTCCACCAAAAGTACCAGGGCTCTTGGAGAAACTTCTAGGACTGGGGCAGGAAATATATAGGAGGAATCTGGAGTATCTTGCAATGACACAAAGTAAAGAAGGTCTCCATAAAAACACCATGATGTACACACCTATTAGAATGGCCAAAAGCCAAAACACAGACAACACCAAATACTGATGAGGATGCAGAGCAGCAGGAACTCTCATTCATTGCTGCTGGGAATAGAATGCAAAATGGTACAGCCACTTTGGAAGACAGTCTCGCAGTTTCTTACAAACTAAATCTACTCTTGAAGTTGGTGTGCAAGATGGCAAAGAAGGGTGTGAAGACCATCACTTCCGTGGCTGTGACCAGTGCTCTGCCCATCATCCAGAAGCTAGAGCCACAAATTGAGGTTGCCAATACCTATGCTTGTAAGGGGCTAGACAGGGTTGAGGAGAAACTGCCTATTCTGAATCAGCCAACAGACAAAGTTGTTGCCAATGCCAGAGGTGTTATGACCGGGGCAAAAGATACTGTGACACTACTGTGACCGGGGCCAAGGATTCCATGGCCAGCACCATCACTGGGGTGATGGACAAGACCAAAGGAGTGGTGACAGGCAGCATGGAGAAGACCAAGTCTATGGTCAATGGCAGCATTAACACAGTCTTGGGAGGTCGAATGGTGCAGATGGTGAGCAGTGGAGTAGAAAATGCGCTCACCAAATCAGAGTTGTTGGTGGACCAGTACCTCCCTCTCACTGAGAAAGAATAGAAAAAGAAGCAAAAAAAGTTGAAGGATTTGATACAGTTCAGAAGCCAAGTTATTACATTAGACTGGGATCCCTGTCTACCAAGCTCTGCTCATGTGTCTACCAGCAGGCTCTCAGCAAGGTTAAAGAAGCCAAGCAAAAAAGCCAAGAGACCATTTCTCAGCTCCATTCCACTGCTAATCCGATCGAATTTGCCAGGAAGAATGTGCAAAGTGCCAACCAGAAAATTCAAGGTGCTCAGGATATGTTCTGTCTCTCCTGGGTGGAGTGGAAGAGCATTGGCTATGATGATACAGATGAGTCCCACTGTGCTGAGCACTTTGAGTCACGTCCTCTTGCTATTGCCCGCCACCTGACTCAGTAGCTGCAGACCACGTGCCACACTCTGCTGTCCAATGTCCAAAGGTTACTGCAGAACATCCAAGATCAGGCCAGTCCCTTGGGGGTGATGGCTGGTGACATCTACTCAGGGTTCTGCAATACTACCTCCTTTAAGGAAGTGTTTGATGGCCTCCTCACTTCCCACAAGGGGCAGGCTGCAGAAAATGGAGTATTTAGATGATGTGATGGATTATCTTGTTAACAACATGCCTCTGAACGGGCTGGTAGGTCTCTTTTATCTGTAGCTGACCAAGTCTCAGAATGCTCAGAACCAAGGTGCACAGAAGGACACAAGCTGTCCGGAGGCCCAGCAGCCTGAGCACAGAACACGTTAAAGCTCTCCTTGTCACCAGTACGTGGTACAGCCAGCTGGAGGAGACTTTCTGTGATGCTGAAATTGACCTGCTAACAACTCTGAATTGGGGAAGCCAGCTAGCCAGAGAAAAGGTCCTCAGTTGTAGTCATTTCTAACTGGATTAAGAGCTTTGAAATTTTTGGCCTTAGCAGATGAGCTCGGTTGTTTACCTGGCTGGTAAGAAAAGAATGATAGATTGGTCAGAGCCTAGCCAGGAGTCCCAGAAAGTTTCCATGCATTTATGGTCTCATCCTATTATCATTGTTGCTGTTTGTTTGTATTGAATAAAAGCACCATCATGTGGGCTGTGGTGTGGGCTGGTGTCTGCTCTGGTCCGGTCTGAGCAGGCTTCATCTCACCGGTTTGTCTCACAAAGCATGCCTGTACAACTTTTTTTAAAAATTATTTTTCATGAAGGAATGCGCCCTATGAATTCAATAAAATTCACCGCAGAATAGATAAAAAAAAAACCTCACCTCAAAGCTCTACAGTAAAAAAAAAAATTAGAAAATGGAGAAAACACCTGAATAGACATTTCACTGACGAGAATATACAGATGACAAATAAGGGTATGAAAAGACATTCAACATCATTAGCCATTAGGGAAGTGCAAGTTAAAACCACAAAGAGATATCACTACACGCCTATCAGAATGATTAAAATAAAAAATAGGGATGACACCAGGTGTTGGCAAGGTTGTGGAGAAATTGGATCACTCTTACATTGCTGGTGCGAATATAAAATGGTACAACCATTCTGGAAAACAGCTTTGGAGTTATTCGAAAAACTGAACATGCAGTTACCCTGTGACCTAGCAATTGCACTCTCGGCCTTTTCCCCCAGAGAAGTGAGAACATCCGTTCGCACAAAAACCTGTACCTGAATTTTCATAGCACCTTTATTCATAATAGGCCAAACCTGGAAACAACCCAGATGTCCTCTGAAACGTGAATGGTAAGAGAAACTGTGGTACATCCAACTCATACAACTCAGCAATGAGAAGAAACTACAACTTGGATGAATCTCAAGGGAATAATGTTGAGTGAAAAAACCAGTCTGTGAAGTTACATATTGTATGGTTCTGCTTATAGAACATTCTCGAAATGACACAATAGAGAGGGAGAGCAGATTAGTGTTTGCTGGGGGTTAGTGATAGGGACGTGGAGAGAGGAGAGAATTATAAAAAAACAACACAAGGGATCCTCGTGAGGGAACGGTTCTGTATCTTTGCTGTGCAGTGGGTACACGAACATGCACATGTGATAAAATGGCATAGAACTAAACACACACGTGTACAAACGACGACAAGTGAAGCTGGGGGGATCGGGATAAGACAGTGGATGTTATCAGAGTCATTATCCTGCTTGGGATATTTTACCAGGGTTGTTGTTGTTTTTAAGATTTATTTATTTTATTTTAGAGAGAGAGATAGGGCGAGCCTGCAGGGGAGAGGGACAGAGTGGGGAGAGAGAAGCAAACTCTGCACTGAGCATGGAGCCCAACTCGGGGCTCGATCCCAGGATCCTGAGATCGTGACCTGAGCAGAAATCAAGAGTGGGATGCTTCACCTCCTGCACCACCCAGGTGCCCCTGTACCAGGGTTTTGTAAGATGTTACCCCTGGGGGGAAGTGGGTAAAGGATACACCAGAGTTCTCTGCATTATTTTTTAACTGCATGTGAGTCTATAATTACCTCAAAATAAAACTTTAATTTAAGGTTCTTCTTTAAAAAAAAATTTAAGCATCCCTGGAAGGATACACATAATAGCAACAGTCAAGATTACCAGTGTCAGTGGTGGGGGGGGAGTGGGCAGCACCTGGGTGGTTCAGTTGGTTAAGCCTCTGCCTTTGGCTCAGGTCCTGATCCCAGGGTCCTGGGATTGAGTCCCACATCGGGGCCCCCCTGCTCAGCGGGGAGCCTGCTTCTCCCTCTGCCTGCCACTCCCGCTGCTTATTCTCTCTCTCTGACAAATAAATAAATAAATAAATAAATAAATAAATAAATAAAATCTTAAAAAAAAAAAGATTACCAGTGGGGTTTAGCAGTGGGGAATATGAGCAGATGGGTGATGGGGGTGGAAGAAGGCTTTTCACTAGGTACCTTGTGTACTTTTTGGTTCTTTTGGTTTTTATAAATAAAATGTAAAACAACTAAAAGCCACACTTGCTCTCTTTCCACTCCCCTTTCTGACCACATTCCCCCAGATGTGTTTCCAGGACGACCGAGGCTAGATCCAGCGTGTTCGCTTATTTTATCTCCATAGCCTGCTGCTTTCTTTCTGGAAAGACGGTCCTTGTAGTTCTGACAAGTTTCCAGGCTCACCTGAGTCATGCGTTTGAGCCATTTTCAGTCTCTCCCCATTCACTGGCACAGCACACCTTTTCCTGGCCGGATTTTGATTTCACAGTCGTCCAGCACTGATCTGAGGACTCTGTTGAAATTCTTAGGGTAGTTTTCCCTGGGTTTAAAAATTTTTTTCTAGATGTGTTTCAGAATCCTTTTTGGCATTTATAGAAATTTGGGTTTGGGATTACATTAAACTTGTAAATAATGTAGGAGAGAATGGTCATCTTTATACTAATTTTTCACTAGGAGCATGAAGTCTATTTCTTTGTCTTCTTTTCCATCCCTCAGTGATGTTATATGGCTTTTAGTTTGCCTTTGATATGTCCATTAACAATTATACTCTTCATAGATACTTTATAATTTTGACTGTCATGGAGAGGATATCTTTTAAAAAATATGTCATTTTGGGGCACCTGGGTGGCTCAGTCATTAAGCATCTGCCTTCAGCTCAGGTCAGGATCCCAGGGTCCTGGGATGGAGCCCCGCATCAGGCTCCCTGCTCAGCAGGGAGTCCGCTTCTCCCTCTCCCACTCCCCCTGCTTGTGTTCCCTCTCTTGCTGTCTCTCTTTCTGTCAAATAAATAAAAATCTTTAAAAAATAAAATAAAATAAAAAATATGTCATTTCTTGTAGACATTCAAAACAACAATGCTATTGACTTGGGTTTTATCTTCTATATGACTTTTAATTAATTTTACTAGGGTTTTTTTTGGGGGGGGGTAATAACTTTTTTAACCTGTCTAGATATACGATCACATTGCCTACAAATAATCATATAGTTTAAATCTTCTTTTCCAATATCATAAACCTTTTTATTTATTTTTAAATTTTCTGGCCCAAACTAATAGACATTGGTAGAAGACATTTTTGTTGTGTGTGTGTATTCTGTAATCTTTTTATACCCAATATATGAGGGTGTTTTTCCACCATTGATTTTATTGACTTTGTACTATTCCACTATATATGTGTCACTGTATCACCAAGTGAGAAGGATGCTGTAGCAGTATCTCCACTTTGTCAGGTGGCCAAGGGGGTTTATGAGGGGACCATTGATGAAGGAGTCTTCTAGCCTTGAGCGAGGCCTTGGTTGTGTGTTGGACTTGTGAGGTCTCTGTTCTGGTCCCGGCTGATTCTCATTTATTCTTTTCATGCATAAACAGTAATCAGGCACCTGCCTAGGTGCTCGGGGGAGAAACTCCCAATAACACAAGGTTCTTATTAGCTATCGGGCAAGTCCCTTTTGTCTTCTGAACCTCAGTGTTCCTGTTTGTAAGATGAAAATATTAATAACACCATTCCTATATACCCTACCTAGGTTCATGTGTGGATTCAATGAGATATTAGAGAATTTTAAAGTGTTGCTAGAAGGGACCTCAGGAAACATCACTTATTAGATGAAGAGTAGCAGAGAAGGGAAATGACTTGCCCACAGTCACATAGTTCCTGGGATAGCAAGGTCTCAAACTTGGGTCTCAGGCTTCCAACCACCTTGAGAATACAGAAACTCCAGGGTTTCAGCCTTTGGGGTTATAGATTCCTCGAGCCACCCATGTCCTCTGAAGAGCAAGAAGGGCCAAACTTGGGGCACCTGGGTGGCTCAGTCAGTTAAGTGTCTAACTGACACTTAAATCATGACCCGAAGGCAGAAGCCTCGGGTCATGATCCCAGGGTCCTGGGATCGAGCCCCGCATCACGCTCCCTGCTCAGCGGGGAGCCTGCTTCTCCCTCTCCCTCTGCCTGCCGCTCCCCCTGCTTGTGCTCTCTCTCTCTCTCTCAAATAAATAAATAAAATCTTAAAAAAAAGAAAAGGGCCAAACCTGGAAGCACTATATCTCCATACACCTCCCTACATCCATCCCCCAGCACCAACCTACCAACCTGTTCTGGGCAGTCCTGGGAGGGACCCAGTGAATGATCCATGTATCTCCTCCCCCAACAGGGCGCCTCTCCTCTGCACCTGGCTGTGAAGCACCACTTCCCTGCCTTGGTCCAGCTTCTCATCAACGCCGGCAGTGACCTGGATGCCACCGACAATTAAGTGGTTGCAGAAACCGTCTGGGCCCCAGGGAACCTCTGGGCACCCTCCCAGGCTGGCAGGGCTTGGCTGCCATCTCCTAGCATGGCTCGGAGTTGAGAAATTACTTTTTTAGTTTATAAAAAAGCTGTGTGAATATTCGTTGAAGGTAACATCATTTTACCAACCATTCCTCTATTTTGAACATTTTGGTGGTTTCCAGGTTGTTACCATGGTCCGGATAACACTGCAGTAAACATCTTCCTACATTCCACCGTTTCCTTTCATTGATTTTTCTTTTCCTTTAGGAAAATTCCCAGGACAGGGGTGAGTGGGGCAGTCTTGTGTCACAGGAGGCCTCTGAGTCCTGCAGTTGTGCTCAGTCAGGAGCCCTTTGAATTCCCCATCCCCACAGTCCTCCCCCTGACCACAGAGCCCTCAGTGCCCGTACCTACAACCACGAGTGGTGGAAAGCAACTTGGCAGGATACAGCATATACCTTCAAAATGATCACTTTGCACTTTAATGAATTGAGCCTCAAGAAATACATTAAAAGCTCATGCACAAAGATATTTATTGCAGCATTGCTTATCAATCTTCAATTTGCAAATGGCCCAAATATTTAATAATAAAGAAGTGATCAGGTAGCTTATGGGCTAGACGTAGATTACTATGGAGCTGTGAAAAATGGTGTTTGTCATAATATATGGACATGTTAGGTAGAAAAAATGGATGCAAAATGTATATATGGGATGATCTCCTGTAAAACCAACAAATCAAAAGCACTCTACATTAATGACTAGAAGAAATATATTAGGATTGTTACAGAGCTTGACTTAGCTAGCAAGTGGTATTTTTTTCCTTTGTTCTTTCTGCTTTTTTGTTTTTACCAAGTTTTCTCTGGTATTGTGTTTATGACTAAACCCAGCTTACTCTCTTCCATAACTTTTAGATAAACTTGTTAAGGCCCAGTTAGGAGTGGACCCACCTTGGACCTGTCCTGGCTTTGAGCCTTGGGACACTTGTACATGCTTTTCTACTCCCCTGACCCCTTGGCTTCTTCCCCAGAGGCAGCAGACACCCCTCCACCTTGCTGCTGAGCACGCCAGGCAGGACATAGCGGAGATGCTCCTCATCGCGGGGGTTAACTTAAACCTGAGAGATAAGGTACCTCCCAACCAGCCTCCCTTTCAAGTTTTCATGGCTCCCTCTTTGCCAGAGACCCTACTACAAGTCTCCTGCTCTCAGACTGTTCAAGGCTTCCCAGCCTTTGTATACTAGCTCAGATGCAGCCTCCACCAGGAAGCCTTCCTGCCCCTCCATCACCTTCCCCTTCCTCCCCTCAGGTCCCTTAGGACTTGGCCTGCCCTCCTGCTGGTCTAGAACTGTGAGGTGGTTGCCTTCTGTTTCATGGTCCCTCAGACTTTGAGCTCCTTGAGTCGCCAGGTGGCCAGGGGGAGAAGGAGTCGAGGAGCGGTACATCACTGTCCCACAGCCCCCTACTTGTGGGTCAGGGGTGGGGAAGCTTCCCGGCTCTTTGTGCCTCTGGGGTGGCTACTCCCTCAGGTGGCCGGAGAGTCCAGATGACCTGAGGACTTGGAATAAGGCTAAGGAGGTCACAGGCTCATGAGGGGAAGGGGCTTGGACATGTGGCCCAGTCCTTGGGATGGTGTGTGGAAGAGTTGAGGGCAGGAATAGGCCCTGAGACTAGACCTGGGAGGGGCTCCCTGCCTTGACCTGGGCCCCAGGGCAGCCGGCCAGGTGCAAAGAGGAACTTCCTAACTCCCTGCACGTGCCTGGGGATTAAGGCCAGCCCTGTGCGGGAGGCCTGGAGCAAAGGGCCTGGGTGGGGTGGGCAGACATGACCTGATGAACCCAGTCCCCTTCTCTGGGCTCTGGTTTCATCTGAGAAGCAGGCCATGTCTTGCTATTTCACAGGTGTTGTTGAGTTATGCAGGCTGGGCTTCATACGCTCTAAGACTTCCTAAATTCTAAACAAGAGGCGGTTGCTGGAATTATTGCCTCATTCTACCTGTGCCTCCCACGCCCCTCGTCATGCCCAGAAAAACCTTTCTGCTCTCCAGTGTAGACTGCTGGAAACCGCTTTCTTGGGGGCAGGAGCGTTTGCAGCTGATGCTAGAGGCCACCCTTCTTACTTCTTCCTTGCAGCAAGGGAAAACTGCCCTGGCGGTGGCCGCTCGCAGCAACCACATCAGCCTGGTGGACATGATCATAAAGGCTGATCGCCTCTACACGTGGGAGAAGGTACTGACACCCTGCACGAGGTCTGTCCGTGTTGCAGAGGCAGTGGCCTTGGCTAGGGGTGGGGCTGGCTTTGAACCCCAGCCCTGACCAATTCAGCCCCGCCCACTTTCCAACGGGGTGATAATCCGTGCCTTACCTACCACGAGGCTTGTCTGTGAGCATCTAGAGATGAGTGAGCACCCAGCCACACTGCAGCAAGGCAGCCCGGAGTCCATGCCATTGTGGACATAGTACGGGATGCTGTTAGAGCTCCTGGTTGATGGATGCATGGGCGCATGCCTGCGTGCATGAAGAAAGAGATGGCAAGTTGGTTTCAGCTTACTGCCGTCTCCAGGTGACTGGAATTGCTGCTGGGGGTGTTGTATTCAGGCAACTTTCTGAGCCCAGAAGGAAACTGTGCTGGGATTGATTAGTGATGCTTGCTGAGGAATTGGGGAGGAAGAGAAGCAGATGTAAGGCCATACTATTCCAATCGTCAGCAAATGGGGGTCGGTGGGGAGTTTTTTGATGTCTTTGAGGTTGTTTTTATACACAGAAAATAATTTTTGCATTTACTTCAGTTTTAAAAATAATTTATTACAAATTTTAAAACCTACTTTTCCTTGGGGCACCTGGGTGGCTCAGTCGGTTAAGTGTCTGCCTTCCGCTGGGGTCACGATCCATGATCCTAGGGTCCTGGGATTGAACCCCGCATCAGGCTCCCTGCTCAGTGGGGAGTCTGCTTCTCCCTCTCCCTCTGCCCCTGCTCGTGCATGTGCTCTCTCTCTCTCTTGCTCACTCTCTTAAATAAATAAAATCTTTAAAAAAAACCACCTAGTTTTCCTTAAACTTATAAATTCATTTTATAAACCTTATCCCATTTAGACAACTGGTATTTTTTTAGGAATCTTAGGAATTTCCACTTTCAAGGAAGCCTTTTAATTAATCTTTGGACCCATGTTTGAACTATCTTAAACATTTTAAACTGAATAATTAAATTTGATAGTTTTTTTAAGCACGTTCCTTCCTTTTTTTTTTTTTAAGAGGGAGGTGGGGGCAGAGGGAGAGGAAGAGAGAGAATCTCAAGCAGGCCACTGGGCTCGATCCCACAACCCTAAGATCATGACTTGAGCCCAAGTCAACAGTTGGACGCTTAACTGACTGAGCCACCCAGGCGCCCCCTAAATTCTTAAACTATCCTAGTAAAATCTGGTAAATTAAACCTATAAAGTGAATCTCAAATATCTTAAACATTCCAATATTGTTTGCAAACTTAGTAAGCTTCTCTAGTACCGCTCAAAAAAATCACTATTTCAAAATCAATTGATTAATTACAAATTTCAATAGGAATCATAAGATCTGCTCTTTCACGGACATGCTAGATTCGCAGAAACATTACAGCTCCTTTGCATACAACAGGTTACTCCTAAATGTAACCCGAAAATATTAATACCAAGAACTTGATGAACTGATTCATCTCTGTGCTTAATTCTAACACCTCAGACTTTAAAAGTTCTCAACGCTAAGGCAGCGGCGCAGTTAGAATCACAAACCTCCCTCCCATCCCCAGGCTAATTCAATCCAAATCTCTGGTGTACGGATCCAAGCATTGGTAGTTTTGTTTTTTATTTATTTTTTTAAAAATTTATTTATTTGACAGAGAGAAAGAGAGGGAACACAAGCGGGGGAGTGGGAGAGGGAGAAGCAGGCTTCCTGCCGAGCAGGGAGCCCGATGCGGGGCTCGATCCCAGGACCCTGGGATCATGACCTGAGCTGAAGGCAAACTCTTAACGACTGAGCCACCCAGGCGCCCCTTGTTTTTTATTTTTACTTATTTTTTAAAGATTTTATTTATTTGACAGAGAGAGAAAGAGAGAAAGCACAGGCAGAGGGAGAGGGAGAAGCAGACTCCACCCTGAGCAAGGAGCCCGATGTGGGGCTCGATCCCAGGACCCTGAGATCATGACCTGAGCCAAAGGCAGAGGCTTAACCAACTGAGCCACCGAGGTGCCTTAAAGATTCTATTTTTAAAGATTTTTTTTAAAGATTTTATTTTTTAAATTAATCTCTACACCCAATGAGGGGCTCAAACTCACACCCCCAAGATCAAGAGTCTCATGCTCTACCAACTGAGCCAGCCAGGTGCCCCAAGCATCGGTGGTTCTTAAAGCTCCCAGATGATCCCAATATACAGAAGCAGCTGGGAACACTGTTGGGGAACCTCCCCAGGTGAGAGCCAGTCTCCCTGGTCATCACATCAAGGTGATCAGCCAGACACTGTTGACCAGGATGTAAGATTTGCAGCTGCGGATGCCAGAACTCACCCGAGCTTTTTTAAGACCCAGAACTCTGTATCCACATTCTTTAGAGGGGCTTACTTAGGCTTTTGTGGGTTTAACTTATGCTATCACATAATTCTTTTGTAACTTCTCATTTTATCACCTGCTTTGCATAGAAATTCTGTAATCCTGCCCTTCACTACTTGTTGGGATTCAGCAAATCTAGTTAGTGCCTGATCCTTGGCTTGACTGGTGTTAGCCAGAGCCGCTGAGTCCTTCTGCTGACACTTGCGCTGTAAGAACACAGAGAAAAGAGAGGAATTGGGAAGCCTTCCTGGAAGAGGTGGCCTGTGGGTGATCTTTGGACTGTGGCAATGGGGTTGAGGGACAGGCAGGTGAGAAAAGGCAATCTAGGTGGAGTGTGAGCTGCTGGGGTTCCGGAAGTCCAAGCAAGGCACAGAGTGAGAAACCAGAGTAGCAGACATGAAGCCCCAGGCCTGGATGCCTGCCAGAGCCCCATCCAGACTCCCAAGGGAGAGCCTGGCAGGGATTTCCCCCCAGGCGGCAGCTGCACTTTGGGGATCTGTTCCACAGGATCACCTCTGGCTCAGGGACCCCAGGGATTGCTGTGGGAAGAACTTGACCTTTAAGCAGGACCATCGGCAGGAAGGGCGGCAATTCTCCTGTGTGCTGTGGCGACTGGCCTCAAGGGACCTGCGGCCTCATGAGTGGAAGAAGCTCGCATATTGTTGGGAGTTCACTGAGGCCCACGTCCACGCCATCGAGCAGCCGTGGACAGGTACCGCCCTGCCTCTCCCCACCCCAGAGCGACCAGTGGGTGGAGAGGTGGGGCCACTGTATATTAGGCTTTCTGTGTTTCTGGGGGGAAAGCCCTGCAACCCACAGCCTGATCACAGCAAGCCACATGCCATCGGCAACATCCCACATGCCTCTCCATCCTTCCAGGCCTTTGCTCAGGCCGTGCCCTCTGCCTCTCCCTCCCCAGTGACCTGTAAACTTCACATTCTTCATGAATTAGCCCAAGCTGATACCAATCATTCACACACCAAACTAAAGGCACTCCCTATAAAAAGGAGAGGACCCTCTATTGCCACCATTATTTAGTATCTGCTTGGAAATGTTGGCCCCGTCGGTTAAGCATCTGCCTTCAGCTCAGGTCATGGTCCCAGGGTGGGATCTTGGATCGAGGCTCACATCGGGCTCCCTGCTTGCAGGGAATCTGCTTCACTCTCTCCCTCTGCCCCCCGCCCCCCATGCTTATGCTCTCTCTCTCTCCTCTCAAATAAATAAAATTAAAAAAAAAAAGGTCCCTGGTACTAAGGCAGAAAACAGAAACAGAAATAAGGACTGTAAATATTAGAAAGGAAGAGAGAGATTTATTAACTTCAGATGCTATAATCCTATACACAGGAAGTCCAGAAGAATCAACTGAAAAACTCAATAATTCAGTGAAATGGCTAAATATGATAAAATATACAGATACCATGGTATTCTTGTGTACCATCAATAGCTTTTTGAAAAGCTATTCCATTTGCAATAGTTTCTAAAAAATATGAATGGCATATGAATAAAATAAAAATTCAACTCTAAAAAAAAGACTTGGGTAGGTGGAATGACATTCTATATTCCTGGCTAGAAAAAGTGTCAGGTAGACATTGGTTTTTCCCAAACTAGTTTAAAAATTTGATTTTTTAAAAAGATTATTTATTTATTTATTTTATTTATTTTAGGGGGCGCCTGGGTGCCTCAGTCGTTAAGCGTCTGCCTTCAGCTCAGGTCATGATCCCAGGGTCCTGGGATCGAGCCCCGCATCGGGCTCTCTGCTCGGCGGGAAGCCTGCTTCTCCCTCTCCTACTCCCCCCTGCTTGTGTTCTCTCTCTTGTTGTCTCTCTGTCAAATAAATAAATAAAATCTTCAAAAAAAAAAAGATTTATTTTAGAGAGAGAGAACAAGTGGCAGGCAGGGTGAGAGGGAGAGAGAATCCCAAGCAGACTCCTCACTGAGCTTGGAGCCCAACGTTGGGCTCGATCCTACAACCCCAAGATCATGACCCTGAGATCATGACCTGAGCCGAAACCAAGAGTTGGATGCTTAACTGACTGAGCCACCCCAGGTGCCCCTGGTTCGGTTTTAATCAAATCAAAACAGATTTTTGAAACTTGACTAAAGGATTCTAGAGTTCACTTGAAAGAATAAAGAGGGAATGTTTAAAGATTTTATTTACTTGAGAGAGAGCGCATATGAGAGAGCACGAGAGAGACAGCATGAGCTGGGGTTGGGGGGCAGAGGGAGAGGAAGAAGCAGACTCCCCGCTGAGCAGGGAGCCTGATGCTGGACTCGATCCCAGGACCCCAGACCATGACCTGAGCTGAAGGCAGCCACTTAACTGATTGAGCCACCCAGGCACCCCAAAGGGGGACTATTTAAATGAATATTCTGCGGGGGAAAGTGAAGAGGATCTAATCCAACCAGACTCAACCTTTTATAAAGCTCAAATAATTAGCATAGAGAGATACCTGGCAGAAAAATATGTACACCAGTTAGTGGAATAGAGCAGGGACTCCAAACGTAACCTCTGTGTCAGATAAGAACTTTCAGAGAGGACAAAGGAGCACGGGTAAATTACGGGGCTGGAGGCAAGGGACAGTGAATAAATGGGCCAAATGAAACCGCTCTGCCAAGGGCAGCCCCATGAGGAAGTGCCTGCTGAGGGCCCGGAGGGGGCCAGAAAGTCAGAGGACGCAGTGGCTGGGAGAGGAGACCTACCTAGGAGTGTAGTAACAAGTTCACCCCTCCTCCCACACTGAAGATCATGGCCGTACGTTGGAATCACCTGGGAAGCCTTAACACCGCTCAGTGCGCAGGCTGCGCCCAGACCCAAGTAGGTTGGAATCTCTAGGGAGGGAATGGGACCCAGGTGTCAGTATTTTTTGGACGGCTTCCCGGGGGTTTCCAGTGAGCACTTACAGCTGAGAACCACCGGCGCAGGGGAAAGAACATGACCACTTCTGTCGTGCACTAAGCCGGTTTTCTCATCTGTAAAATAGGACCACTAGCAGGCAAGGCACAGATTATTGTGAGTAGCCAGAGATGCAGGGAATAGTCCTGTGCGACATGGGATCACAACAGTGAGTGCCAATTCTGTCTTCAGAGCAACACCAACAGGATGCATGGTGGATGCTCAGGAGAAAGCCTGGGGCAGGGGAAGTTCTAGAGTCCCCAACACAAAACCTCCACCCCAACCCCATCCGAGCCTGTCCCTTCCCTCCTCTCCCTATCTCTGGGCTGAGCTCCACAGCACCTTGGAGAAGGGCCTGGCTCTTTCCCACCTGGGCATGTGCAGGAGGTGGTGCAGGGCAGCTTAGAGCTGACTCTGCCAAGGTGGGCTCGGTTGGCTCCTTCTCTTTCTCCCCTCGTGGTCCTCAGGCACCAAGAGCTACCAGGAGCACGGCCACCGGATGCTGCTCATCTGGCTGCATGGTGTGGCCACAGCCGGTGAGAACCCCAGCAAAGCACTGTTTGAGAGCCTCGTGGCCATTGACAGGAGGGACCTAGCTGGTAAGTGTCCCCTGCTCAGGGCAGCACTGGCCCCCCTGGAATGTGACAGAGCCCCCGAAGGTCTGCTCAGACCACAATGCTGTGGTGCTGGCTCTGAACCTTCCAGGTTCCTGGTCCTAGCCTTGTCTACTGGAATTTGGGCAGAGCCCTGGGCAAACCAGTGCCTCCTGGCCCCCATTTCCCCACCTGTGCCCTGAGGGTGCTGGCCCAGGTGATCCTACAGCCTTCACAGCCACAAAGCCACTGATGCTGTTGTCTTCTCCTTGCTGGCCCTCTGTACTTTGATTCTTCTTTTTTTTTTTTTTTTCCTAGCTTGGAATAAGGCTGGAACAGCCTGCAGACTTCTTTTCCACAAACAGTAAGACATATGGGCTAGAACTGGCTTAATAGGAGTTGAACCAGTTCGATCTGGCAAATAAATCACATTTCTGAGGCCATCACAACCTTTTGAGTCTGTCCATTCCAAAAGCCTGGTTTGAGATTCTGAGCACCCTGTGGAACTATCAGGCAAGCGAGATAAAACGTTCAGTACGATTCCCTCATTAAAAACAAAATCAGCTCATGCTGAAAGAGGCTTAAATACTGTGACGTCCACTGGCGTGGTGCATTATGGGGCACAGGACAGGGTCTCAGGCGGTCAGCAGTAGTAATGAAGGCTCTGTGGCACTAACCGTGAAAACGTGGCTAGCATGTCCTAGAGAGGAGGAAGGCGAGCCCCTGTGTGGTGGGGAACTCACAGCTGCTGCAGGGAAGGTGGGAAAACACTCATTTCACAGGGGAGGAATCAGGGACTTTTTTCTTTTTCCAAAATGGTCTTAAATATCATTCTATCTTCTTCTAGCACAAACACTGGCAGGCAATTAAAACAAAAAACCAGCCCGGTGAGGCAGAACCACGGCAACACGAAGCAATAGGATTCTTCTCTCTTGCAGAAAGCGTCAGGAAGAAAGCAAATGCTGACCCGAGGGCCCCCAGCAGGTGCACGGCCATGTAACCAGAGGAGCCAGACCTTCAGGGGCATGGGGCCTCAGAGTGGGGGCCACTGAACAGAAGACGACCACCACTTAAGGGCTTTTTAAAAAAAAAATCGCCGGGGCGCCTGGGTGGCTCAGTTGGTTAAGCGACTGCCTTCGGCTCAGGTCATGATCCTGGAGTCCCGCATCCGAGTCCCGCATCGGGCTCCCTGCTCGGCGGGGAGTCTGCTTCTCCCACTCCCCCCTCTTGTGCTCTTTCTCTCTCTCACTCTCTCTCTCGAATAAATAAATAAAATCTTAAAAAAAAAAAAATCGTTGTAACAGACCTCCCGCTGCTTGCGGTCTCTTCCCCAAGGGTCGGTCTGGGTTTTGCAGGTAATCCCTTCCCACAGGTGGGGTCCTTTACAGCTCTCAGAGCCTCACAGCAGTCCCCTGAGATGCAAGGGCCATCTCTTCAAAGAGGACGCTGAGGCCCAGGATGGATAAAGCAGCCAATCGGCTGTTGCGGTCAGGTGCCAAACCCCGCACTCCTGTCTCTCCAGCGGCACTGACCAAACCGCCCGCCCGTCACCCACTCACTGGCTTTTAATGAGCGCTGCGCTCACTCCACAGCTCTTTCTGTCCCCAAGCTTATTTGTACGCCGTGACAGTTCCAGGAGGCACACACTCTTTTTTTCTCTCTTGTTTCAGGATTTTTTTTTTCAATTTTAAAAATTTTATTTTGAAATCCTTTCAGACTTAAACATTGCGGAACCAGTACAAAGAATTTCTGAATACGCTTCACCATACAGCTTCCCCAAATACTAACATCTTACACAATCACAGCCTAATTTTTAAGACCAGGAAGTTAACACTGATACCGTACTCTTAACTGCTCTTCAGACCTGATTCCGATTTTGTCAGTTGAGCCATTCATCCGAGTCCTTTTTCTGGACCAGGATCCAGTCCAGGACCACACACCTTACATTTAGTTGTCATTCTTCGTTTTACTAGCCCCATACAGAGGGTCACCTCTCCAGAACAGCACCATCTGACAGAACTTTCTGTGGTGACGGGAATGTTCCAGATCTGTGCTATCCAATACATTTACCCCTAGCCACCTGTGGCTGCTGGGTACTTGAAGTGTGGCTAGTGGGACCGAGGAACCAAATGTGTAGTTTAATTTGAATGATTAGAAATTTAAATAAGTTGGGGCACCTGGGTGGCTCAGTCGTTAGGCATCTGCCTTCGGCTCAGGTCATGACCCCGGGGTCCTGGGATCGAGCCCTGCATCGGGCTCCCTGCTCAGCGGGAAGCCTGCTTCTCCCTCTCCCACTCCCCCTGCTTGTGTTCCTCTCTCGTTGTGTGTCTCTCTGTCAAATAAGTAAATAAAATCTTTAAAAAGAAAAAAAAAGTTAAATAGGCATCTGTGGCAAGGGGCAAGCATACTGGGCTGCTCAGCTGGTGTGGAGCTTTGCTTTTGGGTGCTAGGTCAGCACGGGCTGCTTCGGGGCTCGGCTGCGCTGGCGAGAGCGTGGCTCCAGGAAGCTGCGACTCTGGAAGCTTCCCTGTGGTTTCACAGATGTGGTGGCTATCTGCGCAGGATAATAGCCTGGACGTTCTGCCCCCAAGCTCTAATTTGAGCTCTCCCGCATGTGGCACAGCTCTCTGTGGCCAGTTTAGGAGCCCACGTCTTAGAAAAACTCCCTACAGAGTTACCCGCTGGGCCTGAGTCCTGGGAGGCGGACAGAATAAAAGCTGTTAGAGCTGAAAGGGGCTTCAGCCATCACACAGGGCCGGGGGGAGCTGACGGTGGTGCAGCCCTCTGAAAGGCAGCTGCCATTCCGTCTGCCCAAATGACAAAGCATTTGCCCTCTGACCCAGCAGTCCCACCAGGAGGAATTTATCCTGCAGATAAACCTGCAAACGCCATACTAATACGAATGCAAATAAATGTAGCAGAAACCGTGTCGTGCAGAGGGGTGCAGAGGGGTGCACGAGAACTCTGTGCTATCTGCTCAGAGGTTTTTTTTTTAACTGTTCCTATTAATAATTTTTAGAAACCACCTAGAACTTATGAAAAGAAAGAAAAGGAGGCTTTGAAACGAACCTGTTTTACAGGCAGTAACCTGTAGGTAGGCCTGAGGCCTCAGCGTTCACAGCCAGATTCAGACCCCCAGTGCAGCACACGGACCTCCGTGCCCTTTCTCTGCACATGCTGTGGTTTTGTGTTTTTTGTTTTTCATTTTCTTAAGTAGGCTCCATGCCCAGAGTGGGGCTTGAAATCATGACCTGAGATCAAGACCTGGGCTGAGATCGAGTCGGATGCTCAACTGACTGAGCCACCCAGGCGCCCCTGCATGTGCTTTGTGGAGGGGGGGAGAAACTTCTCTTCCATTTATTCCATTTAGGAAATGTATTTTGTACCACATGGGACTTAGACCATTTATTTGGATGAATTCTGCAAAGTTAATTTTGTATTTTTTTTGAGACAAAAAAAGCAAGTTCTTAAATAAAATTGAAATGTTGAAATTCATCTTTCGCATTCAATATTTGTTTCGTTTGGGAGACGTATGGCAAAATTTCAAGTCAGACAAGCTGTTGTGGATTGGTTCTGTGTAACCGTACCACTCAACTCACCATGGCCAGTCCGTATTTCCTGAGTGTCTTCTGTGCCAGGTAGTCTGCTGGGAGCCGGGGTACAGAGCTGAGTAGCCACAGTTCCTGCCCTCTGGGAGCTTGTGATGTTGGGGGGCGGAGGAACTGGGACACCAATAAGGTACTGTCATGTGGTTGGTGCTAGGATGGGTGTGTACCGAGAACTGTGGGATTTGTTTTTCCTTGGGGAAGGGAAGGAGGAAGGGAAAGAGGAAGGGAAGGAAGGTCTGAGAAGCTCAGAGAGAAGACAGAAGTGGGGAAAGCACATTCCAAGCAAAAAGCACAGTCTGTGCAATGCACAGTGGTGTGGAGATGGATCTGTTTGGGGAATGGTGTGATTGGAACGAAGGAAGCATGCAAGGAGGAGGAGAGATGAGCTGGAGGGGCAGGAGGGCCTCGCTCTTTCAGCCTCCGATGAGACTATTCCAACGGGCACTCCTAGCTCCAGAGCCCGCTACGTGGTCCGCTGGTGCTTGGTCAGGCCTGTCATAGCTCAGCTTCTCCCATGCCCAATCAGATTCCTTCCACAACCTCTTTCCTTTGATCCTAAATAACCACCTTGCTCCCAAAGTTTCATCTCGGTACCTGCTTCAGCCTGAGATGTGGGGATGGGGGTGGGGTCCAAGATGGCTGAGTTTCTAGCTGAGGAATCTGGGGAACAGTGATCCTGGGAACAGAGATGACGGTTTAGGAGAGAAGGGGCAGGTTTGGGCAGTGGGGACATAGGTGTGCCTGTAGAAGGCTGGCCTGATAGGCCTGTTAGGCATTCAAGGGCAGCTGAAAAATCAGTCGGGGCTGGAAATGGCAGTCATCGGGGCATAGAGCCAGGGAGTAGTTCAAGCTGTCAGGGGGAAGTGGCTCACACAGGGAGAATGTGAAGAGAAAGCAGAGGGCAGTCCCACAGTCCATTGCTGTGCCAGGTGAAGAAGGGGCTGCTGACCATGTGCAGCCCGGCCCAGCCCACAGGAGCTCCCCATTGGTTGGGAAGTAGCCTCAGATGCTAACAGTTAAAAACATTAAGCTCTACCTTCACGGCTTCCAGGTGTTTCCATAACTCCCGACTGTTCTTGAGGCACAAGGCAGTCAGAGCAGACACTGGCCTATGTGGAAAGACCCCTGCTGCTTTTAGGGATGGTCAGACTCAAGTTGGCATCCCAGCTCCGCCCTTCCCCTCTTGGCCGCTCCCAGCCTCCATGACCTCCCCTGTAAAATCAGCTTAATCAGGGCTGTGGTGGGGATGAAATCAGAAAGAGCATGGCTAACTCAATGTTCTGAAAACTTAAAGGGAAAGAAGCATTGATGCTGATTTTTTGGTCTAAACTGTACCTCAGAGAAACCAAATAGTTGGGGAGGGGAAGACTTAAAAAAAAAAAAAAATCAGAGAACTCTAGTTAATAAATGGAATGATAAAAATTAGAGTTACTGTCACTGCTCTGCACCCTCTAAGGACACAGTGCATCTGTGCAGAGATCAGCACTGGCTGGATCTGGCTGACAGTGCCTGACCCCACCCAGCCATCTTCACGATTCAGGGACAACCAGATGTTACGTGCCTCCCAAGCTGACCCAGTGGGAAGCACACAGCTCTGCCTATGAAGTGTTCTCACCCAAAAGACTGAATTTGAACCTGACTGACCTCCAGATGTAACTACCAGTTTATGGGAAATACCAGGGACATAGAAACAAGTTAAAGGACACTGTGAGGCTGCAATCAGCCAAATCCAGACTGTGGGGAATTCTGTAGAGCAAATGAGCCTGTTTCTTCAACAAATTAATGGCAAGAAAAAAAAAATAGGAATTTACAGTTTAAAAGAGATTTAAGAGATATTCCCACTGAGGGGGAGACAAGAAGGTATGAAAAGTGCTTGGCACATACTAACAGCTCAATAAATAAGAGCTACTGTTACTTTACAAGGAGCAAACTGCACTTTAGTGAGATTAAGTAACTTACCTAATGTCACAAAGAATTGGCCAACGACACCATGGTCTGTTTCTCAGAAAGTCCTATGTCTATGTAGCCCAGTTGGGCAACTACAATAATCACCAAAGCCACTCACTGAAATTGAGTTTTTATTCCAAATGACTGTAATGGCTAGAAAGACAACAGATAAAACTGAAAATGATCTGCTTACCCAGAAATTAGAAGTAGTTGATTTTGCAGGAGAGCAAACGGTGGGGTGACAGACAGCCTTGGCACTTGGTAACAGTTACAACCAAGAAAGCATCAACATAACCAATGTCCTTCTGATACACAATCTGGACGTGCAGCATTTACAGCAAATAACGTAACAAGAAAGAAAGGAGGAAAGAAAAGGAAAAAAAAAAAAAAACCCCACAAAATCCCAAACCTCAGAAATCAACATTCTCTTAAGAACACAGTGGTGAGAAGACTTTTGGTAGCAAAATTTTCACAATTCTTAAAATGGGAGTCTTCAAAAGTACTTCCTCAAATTCGAAAGCTAAAAAAAAACCGAAGGGGGAACAGTTACACTGGTTCAGAAGAGCTGCCGCCTGTCACAGAGATGACAATCAGTCCTACTTCCAAACACAGTGATAACCGGTGAACCCGACAACGGAGCAGAGGGGCCGCCGGGCGGGCGCTCACGCTGCTGACTGGACAAGAACTCTCTGGCCTGCTCGTTATCAACAGGCAACGCCTCAGCTACTGCTCCTCCTGACTGATGCTGAGGCTGCCTTTCTGCACCTCCAGTTCCTCAGCGCTGACCATCGATGGGTCAATGGCCGCGTATTTGGTTCCATGGAATTGTAGCAAATGGATCTGCAGAAACACAGAGTCGTTATTTTAAATGCCACGACAGCATATAAATGTTTTATACTTCTAAAATTACAGAGTAACACAGACTGATTAGAGAAAAACTGGAAAACACAGGAAAGCCAAAGAAGTATTTTGAAAAACCACAATTTGGGATCTTTGCTCCCTATTTACTGTGTGACAGGTCTCTCCAAGTTCGTACAAACTCTTCATGAACATCTTAAAGGGAGGCATGCTGCTCTGTGAGTAGGTGTTTACCCTCCTGCTTTGCTGCTGCGACTCAGGTCCTTCCCATCCTCTGCGGTTCTGAGTGAGACCATGATGACTGTCTCCCTGCATCAAGTTTTTTTGAATTTAGGGTCCTCTCCTTAGGATCACTGCCACAAATGGATGGCAGGACCAAAGGACGTGACTGGGTTTTGAAGCTCTTGATACTTCTTGCCAAACTGCCAAAGCAATAATTTCTCACTGCTATTTTATTTTTTTTAATTTAATTTAATTTAATTTTATTTTTTTTTAAAGATTTTATTTATTTATTTGAGAGAGAGAGAATGAGAGACAGAGAGCATGAGAGGGAGGAGGGTCAGAGGGAGAAGCAGACTCCCCGCCGAGCAGGGAGCCCGATGCGGGACTCGATGCCGGGACTCCAGGATCATGACCTGAGCCGAAGGCAGTCGCTTAACCAACTGAGCCACCCAGGCGCCCTAATTTTATTTTTTTAAAGATTTTATTTATTTGATAGAGAGAGACACAGCGAGAGAGGGAACATAAGCAGGGAGAGTGGGAGAGGGAGAAGCAGGCTTCCTGCCGAGCAGGGAGCCCGATGCGGGGCTCGATCCCAGGACTCTGGGATCATGACCCGAGCCGAAGGCAGACGCTTAACGACTGAGCCACCCAGGTGCCCTCTCACTGCTATTTTAATATCCATTTGGGTAGAGGATGAAGTGGCAGTTTTTGTTAGTTTTTGCGTGTGTGTGTGCTTTTTTTTTTTTTTTTTTAAAGTTTTATTTATTTAAGTAATCTCTATACCCGACATGGGCTCGAACTCACAACCCCAAGATTGGGAGTTGCATGCTCTTCTGACCGAGCCAGCCAGGTGCCTGCCCCTGCATGTGTTTTTTAATGCATTAAAAATGGATCAGGAAGTTGCTTCATGAAGGTGTCCTGCTCTGATTGAATTCACTGTATCCAGGAGGCAAGGTCACATCACAGGACGTGGCTACTTCAGTACGTTCAGGTGCGGGCCTGCTGTTCTTAGAAAAGAGATGGTAGGCACAGAGTCACTTGACTGTCTCTAATATACCCACTTGAATTCTGCTATAAATTATTAACGTAAACCATCTTTTTCAAGTGAAGGCCTCATTCCTACAGAGAATTCTGTAGGTCTCTTATTCCACCACCAAAAAAAAAAAAAAAAAGCAGCTTTATGTTTCAAACCGTACACTTCGGGTTCAAAGTGCTCTGGCTTCCAAGCTGGGACTTACCTGTACATAAAGATTCACCTCTGCACTTCTGCACAGGTATGGGAAATTGCCTCCTGTTTTAAGGTGAGCCCTCCGGGCATTAGGATACAGTTTGTACATTTCTTCTTTAGCTTCAGTTGAAAGTGCACTCTGGTCAAATACCTTTAAAAAAAACACAAAGCTGAAGCCTACCGGTATTTTAATCTGTTCTTTGCACATTGTGGAAAGGGCCTCCCAAAGCATTTCTTGCTTGTGAAGAGACACCGCTGAGCCCCTGGCCGGCCTGGGCCATCTCCTGCTCATCCTGGTGACTTCTAACTCCAACATAAGCTACGGATTTTGTTGTCAAATGTCTCTTGCATTCACTAGGGGACAAAGTCTATCATGAATTTTTTCTCCTCAAACATAGCTAACTAAATTAAAAGAATATTAATAATGAATGCCAATTAATTAAAAAAAAATCACTGAAATCCCAAAAGAACTTTTATTTATTTTTTTACATTTTATTATTACTTAAAAACAGTTACGTAAGTGGTATATGCTCAGTGAAAAAAAAAATCCAAAAAAAACTTTTCAAGAGTGTAAGAAAAAGTCCAGATCCTTCCCTGCGGGAGCCACTGTTAGCAGTTTGGAGTATATAATTCTAGACATCTTTTAATGCCCACATAAACTTATGTTTGCACACATACAAACAAGTTTACAAAAAGTAATTTTTAAAACGAAGCACACACACACACACACAAAAAGCATCTCCAACGTGCTAAAGCTTATACACAGTTTTCAGTGACCATGTACCCAAGTGGTGCGCTCAGCTTTGAAAGATGGGCAAGCAGTGCAAATGCACTGTGAGGACCAAATATTTTACCAGGAGCACTGAAAAGCTCGTTCTGTGTCATGGTAAATGTCGAAATGTAGAGAGATTACAGTGGAGGATGAGAAGTTATTATTTACGTGCTTGTAATGGATAATTTCCTGACAAAAATCAATTCTTAAAAATATGTTGATTTTAGCAATACATCCATTTATGAGGCAAAATAGTTATATGATTTAAAAAAATAAGCCAAAACCACAATGAAATACCACTGTGCATCCGTTAGAATGGCCATTGTCAACAAACAGGAAATAACAAGTGTTGGGGAGGATACGGAATGACTGGAACCCTCGGGCACTGCTGGTGGGAACGTAAAATGGTACAGCTGCTGTGGAAGATGCTATCTGGTTCTGCAAAAAGTCAAACACAGAATCACCATATGGCTCGGCAATTTCCCTTCTAGGTATGGACCCAAAAGAAGTGAAAGTGGATACTCAAACAGGTATCTGTACACCAATACTCAGAGCAGAATGATTCATAATAGCCAAAAGGTGGAATAACCCAAATGCCCATCAACAGATTACTGGATAAATAAAATGTGGTATGCACTATAACAGAATATCAGTCAGCCTTTAATACATGCTACAACATGAATAAACTTTGAAGACATTCTGCTAAGTGAAATAAGCCAGACACAGACGTACAAATATTATGGGATTCCACTGACATGAGGTGCATAGAATAGTCAAATACATGGAGACAGAAAGTATAATGTTGGTCACCAGGGTCTGGGAGGAGGAGGGACTGGTGAGCTAGGGTTTAATGGGTACAGAGTTTCAGGCTGGGATGATGGAAAGTTCTGGAAATGGATGGTGGTGACAGTTTCACAACACTGTAAATGTACTTCATGCCACTGAGCTGTACACTGAGATATGGTTAAAATGGTAAATTTTGTTATGTGTATTTTACCACAACTCAAAAATATAAGCAGCAAGCTTCTGTGCTAATTAGACTTTATGGAATTCTTGATTCTCTGCCCCCCGTGAGGCAACTTTTCTTTGCTGCACAGATGTGTAATAGCTAAAGTGCAATCTCTGGTGATGACAATAGCAAAATACATCAAAATGGATGAGGACTACCATGTTTGTTTATGTTTATTCTGTTTTTTTTTTTTAAGATTTTATTCATTTATTTGCGAGAGAGAGAATGAGAGACAGAGAGCATGAGAGGCGGGAGGGTCAGAGGGAGAAGCAGACTCCCTGCCGAGCAGGGAGCCCGATGCGGGACTCGATCCCGGGACTCCAGGATCATGACCTGAGCCGAAGGCAGCCGCTTAACCAACTGAGCCACCCAGGCGCCCTGTTTATGTTTATTCTGATTTCAATGGTGTTATTCCTACCAGGGAAAATATGGGACAAGCAATAAACTGATTGTTTTAGAACTGAAAAAGCTGGGTGGAGGGGGGAGCGGCTGTAAAAAAAAAAAAAAAAAAATCCAAGGCAGCATTTGAAGAGGCGCACTGAAAAATTTTATAATTATGAGGAAGCTCTTGAAATATACATTTAAAAAGGTAAAGCATCTATTTTACTTAAAAGGAAGCTTACATCCATAATGGTCACAGGGATGTCCCGAATCTTATGAGGTTCCACGTAAGAATTTTGACAGTTCAGGGTAAGTCTTGAAGCCAGTTCACTCTGACCCAAACTTTCCAGCTGCAGGAAAAAACAAAGGCAAAGTTCACGAGTTCATTTTGTGCCTCACATTTATATTAAATCCACAGATAATATCTGCACTTATAAAAGTGGCATGTGTGGTGGGCCAGATCACCAGTGAGGAAATACAATGTATCTGAGAGCCTAGCACTGGGCCTCCCAGCTGGTGGCATTGTTCTTTTCTGGGGCATTCAACAGCCCTCACCCTGAGCTGCCTCTTCAACCAGGTGCCTGTGGGCAGCAAGCCACTTCCCAAAGCCCCACAGCGACAGATCAACATTTTAAGAGATTCTGGAGCTGAAAGAGACCTCGAAAAAATCATCTAGTCCCATTGCCCCTAAATGTAAGTCTGCAGACCTGCTACTTCAGACTCCCCTCGGGGAGAAGGAGGGGGAAGTCTGTAGCGTAAAAATACGAATACCCATACCCAATGCCCAGGGATTCCAGTTCAATGAGCTGGTGAGGGCTTGGAATCCGTATTTTTTTTTTTTAATGTAGGCTCTGCTCCCAACGTGGGGCTTGAACTCATGACCCCGAGATTAAGAGTCATACGTTCTACCAGCTGAGCCAGCCAGGTGTTCCTGGAATCTGTATTTTTAAAAGTTCCCCCTAAGTGATTCTGATGAATTACTTACCAGCAGTAACATCTGTTGGGCATATTAAAGTAAATATGGAAACATCTTAACAAACATCTCTAATACATACTCAATGAGACAGATATATCATCAGGAACCAAGGAGACATGAAAATTCCTAGTACAAGGTGTCCCCATTCCAATGCCATGATCCTTACCCTGTCCACCATAAAATCAATAGCATCAGCCATCATAGGGTCCACTGGGCCAGATGAAAAGTTTCCGAGAACAATTTTTTTGAGCATAAATGATGGCATCAGCCAAAAGCTGTAAAACAAAGACCTGATCGTTTAAATCTGTAAGACTACACAAAAATAGCGAATATTCATTTGATACTGAAGCTTTGTATTAGCTGGTACTTAGGATCTAAAGATAAAAAGACCTAGTCTCTTCTTTCAAAAAGCTGTTCTTGAAGCATCTTGTTTTTATATATATTTTCCCCTGCTCCCAAAGAGTTATGGTTTAATATGATTAGTGTTTTATTTGAGAATTTAGAATAATTATAAAGCAGTATTTCAAATATCTTTACCAAGGTAGACATTTTGATAATTCTAAGATTTTTTTTTTTTTTAACTAACTGGCCTTATTTCCTTTTTTTTTTTTTTAATTTTATTTATTTATTTATTTGACAGAGACACAGCGAGAGAGGGAACACAAGCAGGGGGAGTGGGAGAGGGAGAAGCAGGCTTCCCGCCAAGCAGGGAGCCTGATTTGGGGCTCGATCCCAGGACCGTGGGATCACGATCTGAGCCGAAGGCAGACGCTTAACGACTGAGCCACCCAAGCACCCCAACTGGCCTTATTTCCAATGGCTAAACTATTTCCTTTAGAAAACTGAAAACTTGGGGCACCTGTGTGGCTCAGTCAGTTAAGTGGCCAGCTCTTGATTTTGGCTCAGGTCACAATCTCAGGGTTGTGGGATCCAGCCCCCGCCTTGGGCTCTGTGCTCAGCAGGGAGTCTGCTGGAGATTCTCCTTCTCCCTCTCCCCCTCCCTGCCCTCTAAAATAAGTAAATAAATCTTAAAAAAAGAAAGAAAGAAAGAAAACTGAAAACTTAAGATGTTGTCAACCTTCAGGTTTATATCACCTTTGAATGACTGATATTTCAAAACAGCAAAATGAAAGAGTTATCGTACCTCCCAAAGTTTGCTACTAGTAGATTCAACTGGGCTAATTCAAAGCAATTCAATCTATGAATTTCTATATGTGATTTTTAGTTGGTATTTATTCCATTAATTACAAATGTTGAGAGCCATTATGTAGGGTAAAAACTACTTTCTCTAAACCTATGCTGAAAATGACTTATAAAAGGAGCAGACTACCTTCTGATGCGTGTTCTCCACGGGATGTTTGTTGGAAGTTGAGCTTCCCTCACAAGGACAGCTGGTCACCTTTCATTACTTTTCTCCATCCCGCCCCCTACAGCTTCCCTGTCTTCTCAAGGTGATGCCGCTGAGGTACCCTCTGTAGCCAACAGGCAGACCCTGCTGGCTTTGCCTGCCCCTGCAGCCTCAATGTGTGGCATGTAGCAAGCACTCAGATAACTGGGAAAATGCAGCTCACATGCAGGAGGAGCACAAAGTAGGAGCAGTCTTGGCTTCTGACAATTAAAACAACATTAAAATCATCAAAAATAATCAATGAGCTTTAGTGCCTTGTCTGGACATGAACTATTTGTAGCTAATGTATTGTTGCACAATTGCTCAGCAAACTACTGAGGGAACATCAGGAGAAGCGTTTAAAAAGAACAGAGTACAATTTTTTTTTTTTTAAGTAAGCTATACGCCCAATGTGGGGCTCAAACTCATGACCCAGAAATAAAGAGTCGCACGGTTTATCAAATGAGCCAGCCAAGTGCCCCTACAATTTTAAAGAGATGTGAAAACCATGGCAACAATGTTTACCTATAGCATTCTGTGAAAATCAGCTTGATCATACAGGTATGTTTACTCATGTTTACCCTATATTTTAGGGTAGGGCCTAGCCTCGCTAGCAATGAAAGAAACCACATTAAGTCAGCTTTAAGGTACTATTAGATACTGATCGAACTACTTAAAATGGTATCTTCAATGAGAGGATGGCTCAAAGGAAACAAGCACCCCACTGGCTGCCCCACAGAGCGTTCCACCATTTCCATCATTCTGGAAGCTGACTACTGTTAACGTGTCATGATGTGCAAAACGTCTGCTGACAGACTAAATGTTCTTTTTTTTTTTTTTAAAGATTTTATTTATTTATTCATGAGAGACAGAGAGAGAGAGAGAGAGGCAGAGGGAGAAGCAGGCTCCCTGCAGAGCAGGGAGCCCGATGTGGGGCTCCATCCCAGGAATCTGGGATCATAACCTGAGCCGAAGGCAGCCGCTTAACCAACTGAGCCACCCAGGCGCCCCTGATTGTTTCTAATTTTAAAAGCCAGGGTAGTTTCAGAAGATAGAAGCAGATATAACCCCTACCCCCTGCTCCTTAGCGCAACAACAAAAAAAACCCCAAAAGTCAACATTTTAAAAATTCCACAAAGCAAAAATCATAATTTTGACCAAATGTTTACATTCTTACCTGTTTGCAGTCCAAGTTTGGTTGAAGATAGAGGTGTCACTGAAGGAATTGCAGAGGATGAGGGAATGGACTCTGGGAGATTTGTGTGTATACTCAGCAAATTTCTGAGCCAAAAAGCCTCCCAAAGAAGCCCCAAAAAGATGAACCTAATTGCAAACACATATAAGAAGGATACTAAAATAATCAATCCTGAACATAAATACCCCCCCAAAAAGTTGTTTTAGTTATCACCAACCACAGAATATAATGTCATCACTAGTCATTAGATGAAGTATCTACAGCAGTTCAACATATAGGAAATATTGTAATTAAATACAATTTATATACATCCTGTCAAGAAAACAATTTGTGTATACAAATACAAGTTAAAAAAAAATATTATCAGGGTGCCTAGGTGGCTCAGTCGTTAAGCGTCTGCCTTTGGCTCAGGTCATAATCTCAGGGTCCTGGGATCAAGCCCCACACTGGGATCCCTGCTCGGCGGGGAGTCTGCCTTTCCGTCTCCCACTTTCCCTGCTTGTGTTCCCTCTCTCTCGCTCTGTCAAATAAATAAAATCTTTAATAAAAAAAATATTATCTACAGATTGCACTAGAAAATGAAACCACTTAATTTTTTTTTTGAAGAATTTTTTTTAAGATTTTATTTATTTATTTGTCAGAGAGCGAGCGCGCACAAGCAGGGGGAACGGCAGGCAGAGGGAGAGGGAGAAGCAGGATCCCCGCTGAACAGGCAGCCGATATGGGGCTTGATCCCAGGACCCCGGGATCATGACCTGAGCCGAAGGCAGATGCTTAACCAACTGAGCCACCCAAGTGTCCCATAATTTATGTTTAAGAAAACTATGATTTGGTAATTCTACTCCTAGGTACATACGCAAGAGAACCAAAAACATATGTCCACACAAAAACTTGTACATGAATGTTCAGAGCAGTGTTATTTCTAATAGCCAAACAATGGCAACAATCCAAACGTGCATCAACTGACAAATGGCTAAATAAAATGTGGTACACCTATACAATGGGATAGTATCAGACCATAAAGAGGAACACGAAGTACTGATAGAGGCTACTACTTAGATGATCCATGCAAACATTACACTAAATTAGTCAGTTAGAAAAGATGAATATTGCATGATTCCATTTATATAAAATACCCAGAAAGGGTACATTCACACAGGCAGAAAGCAGAGTAAGTTGCCAAGGCCAGTGGGAGGAAGGGTGAGGAGTGACTGCTAACGAAATGGGGTTTCTTTTTGCGGTGAAAAAAAATGTCCTAAAGTTGACTGTGGTGATGGTTGCACCTATCTGTGAATATATTAAAAACCATACTCACACACTTTAAAAGGGTAAATTGTATGGTATGTGAATTATATCTCCAAAAAACTATCTTTTAAAAAACAAAAAGACAACACCAGCCTTTACAATGTAAATGTTGCCTTAAAATCACATTTAAATAATTAGTTTTAGGGGACTCACTTTATCCAGTTGTAAATGGTCTAAAAGTTTTCTGAATCCGTCACAGAATTCGAGATGGTCCCAATAAACTGGATACTGCAACTGAAATAATAACAATTAATTAATAACAATATATATATGAAAAATTTAGGACTCCCATAATAGCATTTCTCATTTGCTCAAGCTCTGCTCCTTATTCAAACTATGTGAAAATAAGCTCTCACCTTCTTCTAAACTTTAAAATTCACATTTTACCTAACAGACCAATTTAAAAAAAGAATAGCATACTAGTGATATTATGTGAATAACAATTTCAATTCACATCTATTTCCTTTCCAAATAGCTAAGAAACTCTGAGGTTCATGGATGAATAGGGCCGAACCCTTCCAAGTAAAGAAATACTGTTTGCCCTTAAATCCAACTTAATTATAAATTATGGCTCTAAATAAAATTCTGTCTAGGGAGAATTCCCTCTCTTTTTGGCAGCATGACTTGAAGGGAGTGTTCAATAAAATTGTTCTTCTTTTTTAATTGACTTAGTAGTCATTCTATCTGATTTCTTGTACTTTTATTTGTGACCAAAAAAGTATGGTGCTTGACCCTAAGTAGCCTATGAATGCTGATGAAGAGGAGAAAAAGAAACGCAAGTCACTAACTCCTTTTGAGGGGATTCTAGCTTGTCACCTAAGAATTCCCCTCTCTTTAATAATAAGTAAAAGCTGCCTGACAGGCTGGTTGTTTTAAGCACTTAGATTCATTTTGTCATTAACAAATCGCTGGAATAGATACTGCCATGTATATAATAGCATAATTTTAGATTTGATGTAATTATGTTACTTTTACTATTAAAAATTTCATTTGTGGATAAGATTCCACTATTCTGACAGGATGGAGAACAACAGCCTCTCCCTAGCAGAAAATTTGAGAATTTGAGTCAGATGATAGAAAAGAAAGAAGATGCTATATTTTTCAATTTTATTTTAAATTTATTTATTTAAGATTTTTTTTATATTTATTTGACACAGAGAGAGCACAAGCAGGGGGAAAAGCATGCAGAGGGAGAGGGAGAAGCAGACTCCCCAGTCAATGCGGAGCACGGAGCCCCATACCCATATGGGGCTTGATCCCAGGACTCACAGATCATGACCTGAGCCAAAGACAGATGCTTAGCGACTGAGCCACCCAGGTGCCCCAAGAAGATATTTTTATGAAGCCTTTAATTTACAGATATCTATGCCCTAGATAGGTGATAAAATTGTATACCACTTAACACACAGACACACACACATACATATACAACTGAGTACAAGTAAAACTGGAAATCTGAATAAGATCAGTGGATTGTATTAATATGAATACCCTGGTTATGATATCCTACTATAGTTTTGTAAAATGTTACCACTGGGAGAAACTGGGCAAAGAATAAAAGGGACATCTCTGTATTATTTTTTGACAACTGCATGTGAATCTATAGTTATCACAATAAAAATTTAAATGAGAAAAGGGCCTAAGCCTTTTAACTGTGAGATACTAACAAGTATCTAATAAGTTTTAAAATTTCATGGAGTTAGGCGCATAAGGACAAAATAACTTTGAAGACACTATTGGCCTTTTCTACTTTATTTCATTTAAAAAAATTTTTTTTAAGATTATTTATTTATTTGAGAGAGAGTGAGCACAAGTAGGGGAAGAGGCAGAGGGAGAGGGAGAAGCAGACTCCCTGCTGAGCTGAGAGGCCGACATGGGGCTCGATCCTGGGACTAAAACCTGAGCTGAAAGGCAGATGCTTAACCATCTGAGCCACCCAGGCGCCCTTCATTTTTTTAAAGATTTTATTTTTAAGTAATCTCTACACCCAGCATGGGGCTCAACCCACAACCCCGATATCAAGAGTCACACGCTCCACTGACTGAGCCAGCCAGGCACACCTGGCCTTTTCTTTATTCATTCTCTAGCTAATGAAATTAGGAAATCCCACGTCAAGCAGCTTGAGGGCAAGAAGAATTTCCATCCCAAAGGCCAAGCCATCATGACCTTCCAGTTTGGAGTAATAAGCATAGTCAGCTTCAGACAGTCCTCTCCAGTGGGAGAGACGCCTGTGGCCACTCAGTCTCCCTGTGCCCGGCTGATTAACAGTGGCCACCAGGAAAGGTACTATCGTGTCCTAGGCTGCAGAGGACTGGGATGAGTGTGGTTGCCATTTTGCTCTCCTGAAATGCTGTCCATCAAGAGGAATTTATAAAAACCCAGAACAAGGCAGGATTATGTTGCAGAGACTCAAAACACACCATGAGGAATGATGAAAGAATGTGGGGAATTTTGCCAGAGAAGAAAAGACCTTGGGGGAAGGCAGCAGGCGGTGCTGATCATAGCTAGTTTTCTCCAAAGGGCTGTCCGGAGGAAGAACTGGGATTTGTTTTGTGTGGCCCTAGTTGGTGGTAAACCCAGTAGAATTCTCAGTTACCTTCCAAGAGAAGAGATCTGGTCCGAGTTTTCTCTCCTTCAGACAGTAAATAAAATAGTAGCAGCAATACTCCCACAGGGAGACCTGTTTAGGTGTTACTATTCCAGCTTCCAGAAACAACTGCCAGCTCAAAGCCAAAGAGTCTCTCCTTCCTGGGAAGTTAGGAGACCAGCCTTCACTGTTACACAGTCGGAGTATGCCACAAAACTAGTCAAAACAGTGCCTTCCTCGCCTACACTGTTCTCCCAGAAGAGACTCGAGAATGATCAACGGGAAACTAGATGTAGTTCAAACTCAGTAATAAAATAACAATTAGAAACAAAAAACTTCTTAACCAAGTGCTGAGGGTATGGGCATTATAATTAATAAACCTCATCTCAACTGTTGAAGACTTACATTAAAGCAAGCTTTCAGTCACCTGAGGGTTAGCAGACCCCTTTGCTGGGTAAATAGTGCACGTTCAGCTCCCCTGGAGGCATCGGAGTAATGAACTAGGAAGGGAAATGGAGTCAGAAGACTCAGGCCTGTTCTCCGTCCACCACCTCGTGGCCATGACCCGCCACGATCCCCCAAATGGCCTGGACCTCCATTTCCTTATCTGTAAACAAGGCCAGTGCTTCCTACTGTTCAGACTTAAATAGAATGTACATAAAAGCGGGGCACAGAGGTTTCCACAGAGGTCTGTCCCCTCTGCTTCTCTGTATGTCCGTGTACTGTGCCGCCCTCCTTCAAAAGGTTTCATTTCACATTCAAAAAAAGGAAAACAGTATCTTCCTTCAATTAAAAAAAAAAAAAAGCCATTACTATAGTTAATCAGAAACAGAAGCACACACATACAAAAACCCCCACGAAATGTGGACTCAAACTGTCATACTGAATCAATAATACTTACAGCTATAACCCGGTAACCCCATCCAGTCAAAGCCAAAATCTGCCGGAAAAATACATCTGCAGTTCCACTGACAGGGGGAAGAAATATCAGAGGACACCTGATATTTCTGGGGCCTGCATCATACAGCGACCATATTTTACTATCATCATCATCCACGATAATCTGGAGGGAAAGTTGTAAGAAAAAAAATGGAAAACCTTATGGATTTGGTTTTATATTGTTACTTTACACTATAATTTCTCTGACAATTTTAATGCCACTGCCTTGGTTGTGTTACAGGGTACCCTGGGGATCACACCAGACTAGCATGTATAATAAACTGCCTTGGTCTCTTTTTCCCTCTTCAGTGCTAACATATTACACAGAATTGCTTCATACTCTTCCAAAGAGCTGCTTTTTTTTTTTTTTTTTTAAATCAGGTTTTAATTTTCTTTTCCATCCATGATTCTATGAAGCCTATTTTGTTTACCATTAAACAGTAAACTCTGTATATGGCATCTTATTTCTCCCCCATATGTCTGGCTGTGTGTGGGGAGGAGGCCATCTGCAGAGTCATTCTCCAGCACTGTCCAGAGGGGAAAGACTCCAGGCTCTCGGACAAACTAGGGAAAGACGGTACCACTCAGGAGATGCTTCTGGAACCTGATCCAGACCACGCCTCTAAGGGGGAGACTTCTGCTAGAGAGGAAGGACTCGGCAGCCATAGGTGTCCCTGTCCTGAAAGAATGTTTCAAACCAGTCAGGGGTGGGGGGGGTGGGCACAGGGAAAAACTGGCTTTCTTGGGAAAAGACAGTAGGGAGCAGGAAGGTCCTCAGAAACCTTCCTGAACTAGTGGTTCTTAACCCAACAGGGAAAAAAAAAAGAGCATTAAATGAGCTGAGACAAGTCAAGTGCTCAGCGCTGAGTCTGACAGATATTTTGTGTTCAGTGAGTGTTAGATATTAGTATTATTCACTGCATGATCGTTTACTTTTTGTTTTCTTTGGCTGACTTTTTGGTGGGATTTGAAAAAGTCCATTAACTGCCTGAACTTTTGCCAATGCAAATCAATATTTATTTACATTACAAAATTCAAGGCCTCCAGGTTCTATTTTCTGAGGGTTCCTAGCTGGCAGTGCTGTGGGCCCATGTATCACTGCAGATGGCAACACACTGGGATCATGGGCATCACTGGGAGCAGACAAATGGGGCAAGGTAAAGTCCAGAGGACCCTAACAATTCCCTTTTGGCCTTCCCCAGGTCACGGATGATGACGATAATATCTCACACTCACGTTTTTGCCCTTTGTATTTTGCCACTCACAACTTTGCTTTTCATTGTTTTTTGGGGTTGTTTGTTTGTTTTTGCTATGATTGTGGTAAAAATCTCTTAATGGCTTTTGACAGTACACACAGTAAATCCCAATCTTGTAGTAATAACATTCATATGAGATAAGATATTCAGATCTCTAAAATTTTCTAGGAAATTATTTCAATAATCCATTTGGAATAAGTTTATCACTTCAATATTCTCAGAGTTCTCTGAATGGCAAATGTCAAAATTCTATTTGATAATTTTGAAGACACAGTATCTCTTTGATAATTTAAAATCTAGCACCACAAAATTTCAAGCAAACTTATCATGACTCCGGCACCAGACCTGACCGCTGGAGAAAGTTACATCAATGAAACTACTTGCTGTAACTACTTCTAAGAACATTTCGATAAGTTTGGGTTGTTTTGGGTCTGGTGATCAGCTTGCTGAGAAAGTGAGCGCGTCAAGAGGAGCTCACATGAGTTACTTGAGGAGATGGGACAAGGTAGAGGGATCCCCGGAGCCAATTATCTTTTAGCATGGGCAGTGTTTCCCAGGGAACAAGAAGGAAGGGAGGCTCCTTTTGGTAAGCAGTCAAGTACTTCTGGTTTTGAAGCCAGATTAATTTGATTATAATCCAGATCCCACTAGGCTGTGTGACCTTTAACATGTTAACCTCTCTGGACCTCGGTTTTCTCATTTGTGAAATGGGCATTACTACCCACTTTATTAATCCGTTGGAAGAATTAAATAAGGTATCTGGGGACTTCCTACAACACTGCCAGTTACATAGCAGATATTGTGTGTATACTTGGAGAACTGTATCTCAAATTCTATATGGAGAATAGTTCTGTTATTAATTCAAACCTGCATGGTACTTCCACAGATGTCTACTCTGACAAAATGGTAATAACAGAGACATAGAAGATTTTCAGATCATAGTACTCTCATACTTCTGCAAAGGGACCAGCAAAGATTTTGCTCTGTGGCTTAACTAGCTTTTGTCTAGTGTGATCCCCAAACATTTGCAATTAATTAGGGACTCAGAGTCAACAGTCAAACTTCAATACAAGTGCTTAGGGTTTTGGACATCCCAGGCAAATAAGGTTTCCTGAAGATGACTACCATTGCAAACAGAGGACCTATAACGTGGCCCAATGTAAATCTTAAATCCGAGGAACAGGAAAAGGCTTTATAACAGAATCTGACTGCACTTACTATGTAATTGCTGTTACTGCAAGCTTTCCACTAAACAGAGTACACATATTCCTGCTTGCTTGGATACAGAAAAGCAATTATAAAATAATGAGTATAGTTATACCCACTTTTACTCTTGAATGAGTCTCAAAAATTGATTGCACTTGACAAAGAGGTGAACTTTATGCTCTGCAACCCACAGTCATGATACTTGGCAATAATCTTTACTCTCAAACACTACTAAGGCATAACATCTCAGTCACAAACAAAAACAACACAAGATTTTGCAAATAAGAGGTGTAGTAAAACCATACATACCTTTTTAAGGGGAACTGTACTTCTAAACCAGTTATAATCAGGAGAGACTTTAATCTCTCCCATGATTAGCTGAAATGGAGGTTAACCCTGAAATAAAAGCATGTGATGTTTCATGTCAAGAATTCATGTTTACATCAGAACTAAATGTAGAGTCTGGTCTAGCTATACCAACAATACTTTAAACGGTAAAACCAAGGAAATGGACTATTTTACCTCTCAGTATATACTTAAGCTACAGAAAACAGTTTCGTGAAATCCTATAGTCATAGAGCAGGAAGGGGCCCTGAGAGATGACGACTCTAACTCCCTTAGTTCCTCCAGATGAAGAATCCAGTCTAGAAAATTTAAATGACTTTCCAGAGATCTCATGGCTATTGCAGAGCTAGGACCAGAGGCAGGGGAGTCTTTTCTGGTACAGACTGCCTGTCCTAGTTCAATGATTGCAAACTCTGTTGACAGTATCTTAGGAATACCTATGTGTTGACAATATCTTAGGAATCTATTTTAACAAAGATACAGAATTATAGGGAACAGTCCACACTAGAGGAAGGGGGTAATGTAAGCCTGCCTCCTGATCACTTCACAAAATGCCATAAATCTAACTCTAGTGGAACATAACTTCAGAACTTCACATTTGTTCTTAATCCAAAATACAGGAAAATTTGCTGTTCACCTTGGTGTGATTCAAAGTCATATAATCTCCTCTGAAAGATCTATGATAAAATACCAGAATAGGTTTGAAGGCACTGATTCTAGCAACAAAACATGTGTCTTTAGAAAAAATATGTGGTCTTCTGTTGTGAGGTTAGTGACTTCTAGCTTTTATAGCTCTGTGACCTTGGAAAAGTCACTGACCCTCTTTGGGCTTGTTTTCTCATCTATGACTGTTTCACCACTGTATCTCCAAAGCCTAGACCAGTGCTTGGCACAGAGCACGCATTATCCATTGACAAAATGGATGACTATGTCCTAAGAAGACTGGATCAGGCAATCCTAGAGTCCCTTCTGACCCAGCCCTCTAAGAGATTTGGACTGGCTCGGCATCTCCAATTGAAAGGCTGCCCCTCTTTGCTCAGGCATCTGTGTTATGTCATAATAGGAACCTGAAATTATAGCTCCCTGTTGCAGATTCTTATTGCCAAATGAGGAACTTCCACCCACTGGTTTGGAAGGATTCAAATACTTGCTGTTCATCCTGTCCTCTACCCCCAGGGCAAGTCTGGATTTCCTAATTTGGTGTGGGATGTGTTCAAGACCATAAGACTTAACTCCTGGGCTGACTCTGAAATGTCATTTTGCAGGGGGGGAGGGGGGGGAGGAGAGGGCTTCTTTGGACTGGCCAGGAGTTGGGGACTCTAAACCCAATGAAACTCTTCCTTTTTGGCTCCCCACATCTGCTGTCTTAGAAGTACAGGGAACTCAACAGTCTTTTAAGTTACCTCTAACCTTGGGGGGTTACTAAACTAAACCCCAAGGAGATGGTAAATGTAGACATCCATTATTAAACTTGATTTACAACCTTGACATTATAATAATGGTCTGTTCTCAAGGCTAGGATGGTAATTTTAGAAAAGTTTGTTAAAATCATAAGTTGTTCTAAAGAGTACCAAGAATATCATTAGCCAGCCTTATGCTGAAATCAGTGTGCACAGACGTAGTTATAATTCATACTGGAATAAAGAAAATCATTCTCTGCATATCCATTTTCTCTTAACAAATATTAACATGTTAAAAAAAATCTAAGCCATTTGAATCTACTCAGTAGGTTTATAAAACAGTTAAGCTCCTTAAAGCCAGACAGTTATCTTCTAGATTTGCCAAACTTGGGATAAATCATTCAGTTTTGGAATCGGCTGCAATGTACAAACCAAACTACCATACAGATCACACACAGGCACACACATTCACTGTCATCCACTTCTTCCCACAGCAATAAGTAGAAAGATGTTCCTTACCACAGTCCTCGGTATTATCCACAACCAACGCAATTTTATAACATTTTATAACTAATCTCACTGGATGGAAAGATTCCACCCAACTGTGACTAAATTTTTGTAGGGGCAAGTGATTTTAACACTTGTGCTAGTCTAGCAGCACATGAAAGGTAAGAGAGACACCAAATGTTGCATCTGACCAACTGATGTCTAAGTAAAAAAAAAAAAAAAAAAAAGCTCACTGCTGCAAAGGGAAAGCAGCTGTGAGTGGTATGAAAAGGAATTTTGTTCTCCTAGCTCTCTTTCATTCACTAAAAGGGTATACTTTTCCAAGTCACAAGAGGAACATTCTGTAGGGGGCAAAAAAAAAAAAAAAAAGGTTAACCGAGATTGTGACCAAACTGGTCAGTATTAAATAAGAAAGAATGCGGATCATGAGCTCAACACTGATTTGTTCTCTCACAATTCAGTTCTTCACAAAAACAAAAGCACCTGTTCACCGTGAGCTGGTGGGAAAAGGGCTGCAGAGATCAGCCTTCATCTTGCCTAAACAAACCCCTCCTCAGGGAATGCTTTCGACACCCAGTCCTCTCTGGCCCTTGAGGGTGCTAGACAATAAAATTGCCAATTGTGAGTGTGCACGAAGAATTACATACACTTTTCCTTCAGGGTTTCGACAGAACCTGCCAGTTTACAATCAACGAAATCGTCTTTAAAAATGTTTAAGTCACATAACGAGCTTAACTAGTCAGAGGTTTTTGGATCCTTTACCTCAATCTGTAGTTGATCCACATATGGACAATCTGTGATTATTAATACCAGCAGTAAGTAACTATTAGAACCTGAGTTTCTAGGCAATGCAAATAATGGCTTTTTAAATGCAAGTCTCCATAACTCACCACACCAGTAGACAGCTATCCTTTTTTCAGATCTCTTCAGGGAGAGATTTATCCCTCTTTTCTTCAGGAACTTATTCCATTATTGTCTAAACCTCATGGGAGGAAAAGCTGCCTACTTGACATTTCTTCTGTGACACCTCATCTGTGCTGCTGTCTTGGGATAAAAGCTCTTGGAAATTTGCACACAGCTATTAAGTTACTCCTTAGTCTCTTGAGTCTTTCTGCTAACAGGAGCTGGAACATTGTACGAGGAGACAAAGCAGCAGCATAAATGCAAAATTTATAACTCCCCAGGAAAGCCAGAAGGGGAAAAGCAAAACACTGTAGTCCTGCTACTTTCCTCATCCCTCATTCACAAGGCTCACACCTGGCAATGACAAAGACATTTGTCACTTTCAGGCTGAGGTGCAATCTCCAAAATAACTAGCTTCTTTCTGCTCAGAGTTCTTAAAAGTTGAACATATTCCTGGGCTGCAGCAGTGTATCCCCAGGACCAGATTACAGCAGTACGCTCTGGTCCAGCGCCCCCGCCCCCGCCCCCACCCCAGATGATCCAAACACAGACCCCACCCTCTCCCAGTCCCACCGTGAAAGCCTCAAAAAGGCAGGGTCACAGGTACACCGACCACCCCATGAACTCCAACTCGACCTCAGACAGACAGACAGACAGACAGACACACACACACAGACGTACGATCACGTGCATGGTCACATGGACCAGCCCACTAGGGGCCACACTAACAAAGTCACACCGCCGGAGGCAGCTGCGCACACTACATACACACCCACCTGCAAGCCTGTACACATCACACACCCACACCCCGCTTCCCAGGGCCTCGCCCACCCCTCACCTGCCGTGGCCTCCCCCACGTCCCTTTCCCTTCTCCCCAAGGCGGCTCTTCCCTCCGCCAGGGGCGCGGGCCGCAGAGACCGCTGGGCCCGGGTCACCGCCGGCAGCCGGAGCTCTCAGTACCCGCAGGCGCAGCGGGCTGTGGGGGCGAGCTGGAGGGCGGGCCTCCGAGGGGCGGGGCGCGCGGCCGGGCGAGCCTGGGCCGCCGCGCTCCCTCCTCCCGAACTGTACGCGCAGTGGGCGCGAGCCTCACGCTTCCGGGTTCGGAGGAGGCGGGGCCACGTTATGAGGAAGGGGCGGGGCTGCGTGCCTTCGGCGGTCACCATGACGACAGGACGAGATGGAGACCAAGGTGAGAGACTGCACCCCTCTCAGTACATCCTGCGGGTTGGGAATCGGCGCCCGCCTTGGAGGTGGCGGCGGGCGCAGGGAAGAGGTCCGAGTTGCCGCTGGGTCAGCTCTAGGTCACCTGTTCGATCGGGCATCGAGGGAGAGATTATGCGAGTCAGGGGCGCCTGACTCCTTGGGACCTGCCTCTGCCTTCAGTTTGCGCCCTCCTGGAGGAAGCAGGTGCGGACCGTTTTCTCTCCGCCACGTAAAGCTTTGGGGGACCCCTTGGGGCTTTGGTGAACAGCGCTTTGTATACTGTCTTTGCTTGGCAAGATTTCTTTTCCTCTTGGCACAACCAAGCACGCCCTCCGTAGTCCTCCCCTGTAACACCCCTCGCAGCACTTTCCAGACTTGTGCTGACATTCTGAGGGATTTTTGAGAACAGCTCCCACCAAGCCTCCAGCTCCTGCATCACTTTCCCTTAAGGGAATAGAGAATATTAATATATTTATAAACATTCTTCTTAAGCAAAATGTGGCAGAGTTTACTCAGTTTGCTGAAATGCAGTTTGTTGAAAAAATGTATAAGGTTGGATAACATGTAAATCTTGTTTGAAGTCTTTTTGTGATTCTTTTGTGATCCTGCAACAAGGTCCTGTTGAAAGTGTCTCTCCCTGACCTGTTTTAGGGAAAGCTTATACCCTGTGTAAAGCCTTTGGTTTATGCCCTTACCCTGGCAACTGTTTATGGGATTAAGATCAGGGGAAAATCTGAGTAAATTGCATCGTTAGTCATGACCTCTGCCTTCCTGCTCACCAACCTTGGGTCCCAGTCTAGAACTTCAGCAAATCCCAGACACATTCCCCAAGAGCACAATCACAATTTAGCTGCCTGCTCCCCACCCCATCACTTCTTTGAGAATGTTCGATCAGTCAGAGGAAGTGGTCTTTTATTATAAGTACCAGGTTGTAGGTACGGTGGATGGGGCATGTTTCTACAGAAGATTTTTAACCTGCAGCTCTTTCCTCAAAACTTTGGAATAGTTCAATGAATGGAATAACTGCCAAATCACTGGTTGTATGTAAAGACCATTATGGATACTCATTATTTATGTCTCCCCAGGTGGGCTGTGAACTTTAATTTAGGGCAAAGGGAACAGAGTAATCAACCAGTGTCTTAGTACATGATTTGGCTCATAGTAGGTACTAAATGTATATTATTAATGAGAGAATAAATAAATCTATCCACACGTATACCTAACAGTGGATTCCTTATTTCCCACACCTCCAGACCTCGCTTTAGGAACAGCCCTAATGAGATTTAAGCTATGGATATGCCTAAATATGTATATTGTTAGTTTGGTAGTAACTTGACTGTTGATTTCATTATGTAGATTTTTTTGTTCCATGTGAACTTTTATTACAATGTAAAAGATCAAACCCAAAGTAATGAAGGTTTTCTTTTCCTGAGAAAAGGACCCCGTGGTCATGTTTGGATCTTCAGTTGTCCTATAACACATGGCGGGCGCATTATCCATTCCCTAATGTGAACAAAGAACATTTAATCTCTGTGAATTCCAGCTGTCCTGTAATTGCACAACTGCAGGGAGCAAACTTTTGACCCAGGGCAGGCAATGGTGGAGGCAGACATGGTGGATATGGCTGTGAGGGTTTGCAGCTGTCATGGTTGGGGTCTTCCAGATGGTTCCCACAGCACCAATCCCTGTGTGAGAATCTCACTTAAAAGCTGGAATGTTCACAAAATACTCTGTGAACACCAGGAAAGTAAACAGATGGCCAGCTGGTTCTCAGAATTGCCCAAACCCAAGCTCTAGCCTTAAAATTGATCTTTCAATAGGATAATATTTGTTTTAAAACACACGTGCAAGGGGCGCCTGGGTGGCTCAGTTGGTTAGGCAACTGCCTTCGGCTCAGGTCATGATCCGGGAGTCCTGGGATCGAGTCCCGCATCGGGCTCCCTGCTCAGCGGGGAGCCTTCTTCTCTCTCTGACTCTCTCCCCTGTCATGCTGTTTCTCTCTCTCTCTCTCTCTCTCTCAAATAAATAAAATCTTAAAAAAAAATACACGTGCAAAATAAACCTAGATACATCTCTTATGCGTGTATGTACGTACACCAAATGGAATAGCGGTTACCTCTGAGGAGAAACTGGAGGTTGGAGGGCAGTGAAGAACTCTGGCTTTAGATTTAGTATTTGAATTTATGTAAGAATGTATTCATATATTATTGTATGATTTAAAAATAATTAGAAGCAACTATATTCATGCTCTAAACACTGCTCCTTCTTTAATAGCTCCCTACTGGGGGCGCCTCGGTGGCTCAGTCTGTTAAGCATCTGCCTTTGGCTCAGGTCATGATACCAGAGTCCTGGGATGAAGCCTCCCATCACTGGGCTCTCTGCTCAGCGGGGAGCCTGCTTCTCCCTCTGCTCTGCTTGTGTTCTCTCTCTCTGTCAGATGGATAGATGAAATCTTAAACAAACAAACAAAAATAGCTCCCTACTGTCTACAAGCTAAAGTCCCAGGTCCACAGGCAAGAGCAGATCTGGCTCTCTCAAAGGGCACCCAATACCCTATGAGGTCTCAAACCTCTAAGTGTTTATATATATACTCTTCCCTCCACTTAGAATGCCTCTTCCACCTGACCCACCAGAGTGAATTACCTCTATTTTACCCCCAGAAACCATCGATGTGTGAAAAAATGAAAGAGAAATGAAACACTTAGTTTTTCACAGTAACATCAGTTCTTGGAATACCATCCTTTAAAGCTGCCCAGGATACATTTGACTACAGAGTTATATATCAAATTATGCTGAGACCCAAGACTCAAAATGAAGGCTGTTTCCTTACTGCCAGACCCAGTCTGTGTCACATACATGCCACACTGGATTATAGTGATCAGACACAGAGTGGGGATTCTGGAACTGCCCAAGAAAGATGCTGACATGTGTATTCTGTAGCTTACTACCTATCAAACAAAGGTCCTATCAAACAAGTTATATACAGTCATTTATTTTTTAGAACTTGTTCTGTTTTTTAAGATTTTTATTTATTTATTTGAGAGAGAGCTTGAGCAGGAAGGGGGAGGGGCAGAGGGCAAGGGAGAAGCAGAATCCCTGCTGAGCAGGGCCCCAGACATGGGTCTTAATCCCAGGACCCTGGGATCATGACCTGAGCTGAAGGCAGACACTTAACCAACTGAGCCACCGAGGCGCCCCCCCAATCAAACTTTAAAAGCAGCCTGCACACAAAAATGCCTCTCTATGGAAACAATATTTTACCTTCTTAGTTAATGTTTATCCATTGTTAACTTTTTAATATAAAAGTTCCTAAGCAAAGGTAACACATCTTCTTTTATCATCTGACAACTTAGCATCTCATTAATGTTTCTTCTGTAAGTAACAATGTGATAATCTATCTTCTGGAAGAAAAATTACAATAAAGAATCCTGGAAAACAAGAACAGTACTATTATACTACAAAATAAAGCAGCTGTTCTCTGTAGGGTTCTAGAAAACTTTATGAATTCTTAGAGCTAATAAAAACCACAATTAAATAGTAACTGAGAAAATCTTTTTGAAAGAAATTGTGTAGCATAGTGCCTGCATATTAAAAGGCACTCAGTTAGCATGGGCTCCCACTTCTTTGTCTCTGAGCACCAAAGCCTGATCAGGGATAAAAACATTTGCAAATAGAGGCAGGGTAGGAAAGTGGTTAGGCCCACAGACTGGTGTCAGACCAGTGGAGTGTGAACTCCATATCTACCACTTAGTAGCTATTTAATGTTCTGGGGAAATGAGGATGGAGAACAATATCTGCCTCACAAGGTTATTTGTAATGATAAAATGAGATAGTTCAGGTCAAGTCCTTGGAAACGTGGCTAGCACTCAGTAAATGTTTAGCTAATAACAATGCTTTTGAGAACCTACTGTGTTCCAGGCACTGTGCTAGATGCATTACATATATATATTCCTCATGACATCCCTTGCCAAGTAGGTACAATTTTCATTTCATAGATAAGGAAATGGATTTAGAGAGGGTGAGTAAGCAGCTTAGACTTAGGGTCAGTGGCAGGGCCAGGGCTCATGCCATGATTGTTGAAATAAGTGTCTACCTTTCAAAATCTTCTATCTTCACTTTGAAATTGTTTGATGAATATTAAGAAAAGTGGTGAAAAGTTTGTACTGTCTTAAATACAAAGTATAAAACAATAAACACCTTTCGGCAGCCATTCTCAAGAGCTCGATTTAATGCTCAGGCAAACTTTTGTCACCCAAACCAAACCACGAGTAAAATTCTTTTTTTTAACAGAATTTACTGTGGTCTTGAGGTTCTAATCCTAGTATTGTCACTAGCTAGCTTTTGCTAAGTCCCTGTTTCATCATCTCTTAAATGAAATTTTGAGTTACTAAAATCATAGAACCTTTCCTACTCTAAAATTCTTTCCTTCCTGTTGGTCTAAAGGCATCTCAGCAAGCTCTTGCTGCCATCCAGAGGAGAAAATATTGTTGCAGGCTCAAAGAAGGCATTTTAGCAGTATTAGACTGTGCTGACAATAATGTCTAGAACTTACTGAGTATCTACTATGTGCCAGGTAGTTCCTTGGGCATATTCTATGTGTATTTCTATTCTGCAAGGTAGGTATTACCCATGTCTTAAATTGAGAAATAATTAAAGAATTTAAGTAACTTGTCATAGGGCACCCAACTTTTAATAAGTAACTGAATTCCATTTTGAGTCTGATTTTTTTCTGCAATGACAGGAACCAAAATAGAAGCATCTTGCATAAGGAGGCAATGTTTTTGCAAATCCATCCTTTCAGCCAGAGCACAGAATAGGCTGTGTTCCTGGGAGGACCCTGGACCTAGGGGTCAGCACGTAGTTCCATGCGCACCTCTTAAGCTAGTTAAAGCTGTTACTGCTCTAGCATAAAAATTACTTGTTGAGTGTGATAAAATGCAGAGTCCCATGTCGAGAGACTCTGATTTAAGAACTGGAGTTGGGCTC